GGTTTGAACCACAAGATCAGAGGTTCAAACTCAACTGCTGCTCCTTGGAAACCCTAGCCAGGGTCACTGTGATTCAGAATTGACTCATCGCCACTTAACAACAAAGATCTTTACATAAGCAGATTGCTATTTCTTTCTCCCACAGAGCAACTGGAGGGTTTGAATCACTAACCTTTCAGTAAGCAACTGAGCACTTAACCTGGTGTCGTGGTTGGTTGGTCATGGTTATGTGCCGTGGAGTTGATTCTGACTCATAGCAACCCTGTACAGGGTTTCCAAGACTGTAAATCTTTACGAGAGCAGAAAGCCTCATCTTTCTCCCGCAGAACAGCTGGTAGTTTCGAGCTGCTGACCTTAAGGTTGGCAGCCCGATTCGTAACCACTACGCTACCAGAGAGCTAAACTTGAGTCAGCTCTCATATTGTGAACCTAAAACTATAAAGTGACAACAGCTAGTGCTTAAAACACTACTGTATAGCTGTAGAAAGAAACTCAAGATGAGCCCTTGCTTGAGCAAGCATTTAACTTGTCAACGATGGGCTAGAACAAGAACTAGGACATCCTGATTCTTGGCTTAGTGTTTTTCCCACAGGATTTACCCATTTTTCAAAATCTAATTGTGTTGCCTTTTTTACTTGTGTCTAGTTTCCTGGAAATATATAATGAGCGGGTACGGGATCTATTGAAGCAATCTGATCAGAACAAATCCAATCCCTTGAGGGTCAGAGAGCACCCAGAGATGGGGCCCTATGTACAAGGTGAGCCACTGTGTCCTTTGAGGTCTGAAACCAAACTGAAGCCTGGCAATGCTTCCTAGCCAGCCAGTTGCCATGAATTCGGACTCATGGTGACTTCCCGTATGTCAAAGTAGAGCTATGATTTGGGGTTTTCAGTGACTGAGCTTTCATCAGTTGACCGTTAGGCCTTTCTTCCAAGACACTTCTGGGTGGTTTCACACTGCCAACCTTTTGGTTAGTAGTTTAGTGCTTAACCATCTGTGCCACCTAGTTATTTCAGAAGCTCTCCTAATTTTCACCTAATTAATTCAACAAATGTATAATGGGTGTTTATTATGTGCCAGGTACTGCACTATAACACTGGATAAGCAATTTTTTGTTTTTCTTATTGCATATTGTTGAGTCAATTCCAACTCATAGCATCTCTATCAGACAGAGAAGAATTTCCTCAGAGAGTTTCATTTTTGTAGAAGCAAATATGTATGGAGCAACGTGTGGGTTCGAATCACTGACTTTTTGATTGACAGTCAAGCATATAACCATTGTATTAGCAGAGCTTCTTAAACACTGCATTGTTGTTGTTGTTAAGTGCCGTTCAGTTGGTTCTGACTCATAGTGACCCTATATAGGGTTTCTGAGGCTGTAAATCTTTGTGGGAGCAGAAAGCCTCATCTTTCTCCTTTGGAGCAGCAGATGGGATTTAACTACTGACCTTGCATTAGGGCTAATAAAAAAGTATGTATAATGATGGAAAGCAAACTTTGTGGATCATAACAGACTATGGATAACATAGCAAAAACTGGGAATCCTAGAACACTTAATTGTTTTCATACACAACCTGTACATAGACCAAGAGTCAGTTGTTCAGACAGAGTAAGGGGATACTGTGTGGTTTGTGATCGGGAAGGGTATGCATCAGGGTTGCAGTCTTTCACCATACTTATCCACTTCGTATGCTGAGCAAATAATTCAAGAAGCTAGACTATGTAATAAAACTTGGCATCAGGAATTGGAGGAAGACTCATTAACTATATAGCCTGCAATATATAGGTGGCACAGCTTTGCTTGCTAAAAGCTAAGGGGACTTGAAGCATTTACTGATGAAGATTGGAGTCTACAACCTTCAGTGTAGATTACACCTTAACATTAAGGAAACAGAAATCATCAGAACTGGACCAGTAAGCAACGTCATGATACCTCAAGAAAATAAGAACTTGTAAAGGCTTTCATTTTACTTTGATCCATAATTAACGCTCATGGAAGCAGCAGTCAGTGAATCAAACAATGTATTGTGTTAGGTAAATTTGCTATAAAAGACCTCTTTAAGTGTTAAAAAAGCAAAGATGTGTCACTTTGCAGACTTAAGGTGCAACTGATCCAAGCCATGATATTTTCCAATTGTCTCATGCATATGAAATCTGGACAGTGAATCAGGTAAACCAAAAAAGAATCAATGCATTTGAGTTAATGGTTTTGGTGAAGAATATTGACTATACCATGGACTGCCTGAAGAATAAACAAAACTGTCTTGGAAGAAGCTAAGCTAGAATGCTCCTTAAAAGTGAGGATGGTGAGCCTTTGTCTCACATACTTGGACATGTTTTCAAGGAGAGGGAAATCATGCTTGGTAAAGTAGAGGATCAGCAAACTCTCTCAAGGAAGATTCTCAATGAAATGGATAGACATCATGGCCATACCAGTGGGACTCAAACACAGGGACAGGTGTGAGGATGGTGAAAGACCAAGCAGTGTTTGGTTACGTTGCATATGGGGTTACAATGAGTCAGAACTGATTTGATGGCAAGGACAGCCATAGCAGCAGTAATGGAAAAGAACCTCAGGACATGTAGGAGACCCATCTGCACAAGGTGGTAGAGACCCATCTGCACAAGATGGGTAGACCCATCTGCACAAGGTGGTAGAGGTGTTTCAGCGAAGGGAGTATAGGACCAGTCATGTGAAGAATTGTGTAGTGAGGGCAAGAGTATTCAGGTAGAAGCAGCAGCATGAGCCAGAGCCCAGAGGGAAGAGCTTGGTGTTTTCATAGAGGCCTGAATGGCTGAAGTGTTGTGAATAAGGTGAGTAGTAGCATTGGATAAGGTTGGATCTGCTGGTGCCAGCTCCAGCAGAGCATCTGATTCCTAGTGTTTTAGGCTGAGTTCACCAGAAGAGCAAAGCCAATGAAGCATGTATGTGTGGATACATATGAGGGAACTTCAAAAAGTTCATGGAAAAATTCCATTGTCTTTTAATTCCATTTTTTCCTTGAATTTTTTGAAGCCTCCTTATATATAGTTGTTGTTATTGTTATTAAGTGCCGTTAAGTCGATTCCAACCCATAGCGACCCTGTATAGGGGTTCCAAGGAGCAACTGGTGAGCTTGAACCACTGACCTTGCAGTTCAAACGATTTTGCAGTCTGACGCATTAGCCCACAGAACCACACCAGGACTCCCCTTATATAGAGAGAAAAGATTTATTTCAAGGAAATGGCCCATGCAATTCTGGAGGCTAGGAAGCCCCTAATTTGTGGTTCGGGGTCAGGCTCAAAGCTTCTCCTGACTCATGTGGTGTCAGGGGCTGACAAACCCTAAATTAGCAGGTCAGATGTCAGGTTGCTGGCATGCATGGCTACAGGAGCTGGTAAATCCCCAAACCTGCAGGTCAGACAGCAGGGTACTCTTGCACTGGTGTTTATAGAGAGGCTAGGAGAGATGGAGAGTTGTCAAATACGAGGAAACTTCAAAAATTCATGGAATTTTTCTACAAACTTTTTGAAGCCCCTTCATATAGGGCAGGATCTGATTTGCTTCCTTGTTAAGCATTGATATATCAGCGTGTTTGATACTATTTGTCCTACTTCATTAGGTTAGGTCTTGCTTTGAGTGAGAACAGTTAGATGCTTTTGTGGAGGGGATTTTTATCTTTTTATGCCACTTAAAAGAAGCAGTATGTCCATTTTATCCTGTTCCCTTGTTGTTGTTAAGTGCTATTGAATCAATTCTGACTCAGAGTGACCCCATGTAGTGTTTCCTAGGAGCAGCTGGTAAGTTTAAACTGCTTACCTTGAGGTTCAGGGTTAATTACATCATGACATGGAGAGGGACATAAAAGTTCTCTTCTTGGATGCAGACTCAGTGGTTGTGTTCAGCCACTGATTTTGCTGCATGTCTTTTTTCAAATGCCCCATCACAAGTAGAAACTTGGGGAAAACAAAAATAGCCACACACTTTACCAGAAGTCGGTTTGAGTATCTATAAAATTCTAAGGGTATGTATTTCTTTGTGGGTCCAGAGCAGTATTTTCAAGGCAGACCAGGGGTTGATCTAGTGGCATTAAAATTTCTCATCTTTAAAGTGTCTTTTTTGGTTTGTGTGGATATAAAGGAGACTTCAAACATAGTTCAAATGTCTTCATTAGGAAAATAAAATGAAGTCTGTAAATGTTAAGGGGCTTGCCCAAAGTGACACAGCTAGCTGGGGCAGACTTGAAACTTGGAACCTTGCCTAGGACTGGGTTAGAGGAATGGGATAGAATCTTGTACATTAAGAGTCTGGAGGACCATAGATTATTTAATTGGAGTAGTTCATGTCATAGAAGATATGAACTCTCCCAGGGTCATATGGCTTGAGCCATGCACTGAAGGTCAGTGACAGGCTCAGGATTAAAATCCAGGGCTCAAGATACAATTTAGGGTTTTTGTAGCACTGTAGTGTAAGCACTGGATTGCTAACCATAAGGTGAGTGGTTCAAACCCACCAACTGCTCCTTGGAAACCCTATACAGGGTCACTATGTGTCAGAACTAACTTGACTGCACTTAACAACAACAACAGCAACATTGTGGTTTCTTTTATGGAGTGAACCTTTAAGGTAGGGGTGACCAAGGGATAGGGGGCAGAGATGTTTGGTAGGAAATAAATTTTGAATTATCAGTGTGTCTTGTCTTGAGGTTATAGGTTTTCTGAAGTCATTCTGGACTTTCTCAAAACATTATATCTAAAATGTAGATGGGCATTTTCCCCATTTCTTAGTGAAATACTAAACTATTATAGAACCAACCTAGGAAGACCAAGAGGGGTAAGGAAGGCACCCACATGGGTGGTTTGCCTAGGGAACAGGCCTGGATTGGGCCTGGTGAGGAAGGCTTCCTGTGGAGAGATGGCCCCGCATGCTTGGCCCCAGTGGAGAGGACATTCACAGAGAGGATAGTATTGGCAAAGGAAAATGCATTTCTCATGGTTAGATAAGGGGGTTACAGATATGGAAAGGGAGAGATCCAGAGAGAACTAAGTTGTATTGGATTGGAAGTACTGGTATAAACATACAAAGGGACTTTAGAAAGTTTGTGGGAAACTTGAAAGATAATACAAATTTTCCATGAACATTTTGAAGCCCCCTTACTGTCCACTGAGAGGGATTAGGAGTTACAACATCCCAAAAGCAGTGAGTATACTAGCATTCAGATTTTTACTTCTAAATACCATTTTCCAATGAAAGTAACCATGGTATCTGGGAGAAATGACTGATTTCAGGGTTAAGGCAGGGAAAGTACAAAATCCTTGTGCTGACCTTGTGCTACCCTGGCATGGCAGCCTCAGCACCCTGCATGGACACCCTCCTCACCTGCGGGCCACCCCACATGTGGTCAGCTTTCGAACCCTGCCTGGGCTGCCTCCCTGTGGGTGCTATCCTCACCCCACTCACACTCTGACTTTCTGTGCCAGGCTATGGCACGTGATTACATGCCTCACCCCACCCGCCTGCCAGACCTTTCCTCTGCAAGGGTGACTTCCCCACCCTGGTCAGCTTTTAACTCTCAGCGGGAGGACACTCTTCTCTCTGTGCTTGGGCTATAATATTCCACACTAGGTTATATCCACCCCCAGTGTGGACATCTCCCTAACCTGGTGGCGGTGATGTGCCACAGAGTGGTTTCAATTCATAGTGGCCCTGTATAGTGGTTCCGAGGCTGTATATCTTTACAGGTGCAGAATGCCTCATCTTTATCCCACAGAACAAAGAGCTGGTACTTTCAAATTGCTGACCTTGGGTTAGCAGCCCGACTTGTAACCACTACACTACCAGAGCTCCTTAACTGTATCATCTATAAATATTTCAGTGTGTAGCCCTAAAAAAAAGTCACAAAACCATTATCACACCTAAATAATAACAATAATTTACGATTGTAAAAAAAATTCTAGTTAATGTTAAAATTAATCATACTTAGCGGGCTGCGAACCTTAAGGTCAGCGGTTCGAAACTGCCAGCTGCACCGCGGGATAAAGATGAGGCTTTCTACTCCCGTAAAGATTTATACCCTCGGAAACCCTATACAGGGTCGCAACCGACTCGATGGCACATAACAACAACAACAGTGGTGATGGTGGTTATGTGCCGTGGAGTAGGTTTCGACTCATAATGACCCTGAACAGGGTTTCCGAGGCTGCAGATCTTTACAGGAGCAGAGAGCCTTATCTTTCTCCCGCAGAACAGCTGGTAGTTTCGAACTGCTGACCTTACGGTTCGCAGCCCAATTCGTAACCACTATGCTACCAGAGCTCCTTCATACTCAGTAGTAAGTCCGTAAAGTTACTTTGCTCCCAAATCTCTAATGCACTGTTGTGATGGCCCCTTTTGACTTGGTTAATACCAGCCATGAGGATTTACTTCCATGCCTTTAAGCTCCTCTTCACCGATCTAAAGCCTACTCATTCTATAATTGCCAAATTCAAGACTCATCTGCTTCATGGGACCTGTCCTAACCTCTCCTCTGATCTCCTTAGCACTTATTATCATTTCTGCTCGTGTAATACGTGATCACGTTGTCTTGTTATAGCCTAACTTCACATGTGTGTAAACTGTAGGGAGCTAGAGACACATGTTTGTATATTTTCTTTTCCAAATGGAGTCTGCCACCTTCTGGGATACATAATACTTAACCTTCTGTGAGGACCTATAGGAGCTAGGACTCCTGGGGTGGCACTGTAGGATCAGCATTGAACTGTGAACCACAAGATTTGCAGTTCAAACCCACTAGCTGCTTCTCAGAAACCCTATACAGTATCGCTATGAGTTGGACTCGACAGCACCTCACAACATAGGAGATAACATATAAGAACTTTTCTTGTAATCTATGTAGCAAAATTTCAAGCAATTAGTATTATTGTTGCTAGCGTTACCACTCTATGAATTCTAGGCCATATTTGCTCTGAGGACATAAACCTACGTTGCCAGAGTCTATCACAGTACCTGAAAATTGGCTTTCAATAAATATTTGTTGATTTATTGTCTAAATGAATTTAGCCAAGTTCCCTCATTCTTCTCCATCAAGTGATATGAAATAGGAACAACAAAATTAAGGACAGAAAAAGGTTAATTTCCATTAAAATTTTAAATTTCTTTTGTCCCTCTCACAAATCTAATAGGTTTATCTCAACATGTAGTTACCAGCTATAAGCAAGTAATTCAACTCTTGGAGGAGGGAATAGCAAACAGGTAACAGGTTTGTTTGTTCCTGTCTTTCTTTTACTTCATCCACCTGTGCTCTGTTCTCATTTTTCTCCTTTGGTGGGGGTATGTACGATGGTACTGATCACTGTCTCTGACTGAAGCTTTCTATATCCATAATCAGGAACCCTTCTGAGAACAGTCCATGTACTCAGGGTGGAATGGAGTGATTAAGATTTAGTGTTTTTCTCTAATATTGATGCTGGAAATTTATTTTGATAAAACGCTATTAGGTAGGGAGCCCAGAGAGTTACTCTGTCCCTTGTCCTGTAATACACAGCTTTTGATATTTTGATCAAAGAAATCATTCATGCTAGTACTGCCTTCTCAGGCCAGCACAGTGTAAAATGTTTTCAGAGAAATTTTTTTTTTCTCAAATTTATCATATTTGAAAAGAGTCTATCCACAAGAAACTGTCTTTTGGTTATGCTTTCAGTAGTTAACTGCTATCGACGCTCTTGAAAGTTACTGGAAATAGTGATAACACTGTGTACTGCATATTGTCAATTATTATGAAGTACTCAGAAATATTATCAATGTGCTTTTTTTTTTGTTTTTTTTTTAGTATTTAGAGTTTTCCTTTTACCAATTAGCAGGTGCAAGCTAATTGGACATAAAGAGAAAATAACAACAGTAACTTAATGCTCTTCTCCTGGGACTTACAGGAAAATGCCCTGGTCTTCAGGATATTCTGAGTTCCTTGAAATTTTTCAAGTGTCAAACTTCACCTATTCCTCTTTATCTTTGAATCATGAGGCCAGTCTCTAGATGTTAGCCCTTTTCTTCAATTCTTCATCATCTCTCAAAACAGAAGCCAATGAGATGATCTTAAATTGAAGCATGATTAACAAATTTAGGTAACGAAAACTCTCCCGACTTTAAGAGATAACATTGGAGACTATGGATTCCATCTGGTTTAAGCATGATATTGACAGAATTCAGCTGGTCCTTTCAAAGGCCTTTGCAGCCTACAAGATTCTATGTTAAATCACAACTCACTTCCTCTGACTTTGAAGCTTCTCTGTCTTGAAGATTTCCGGATTGATGATACTCTAGTATTTCCCTTTTCACTCTATATTTTTGCTTCTATTGTCTCTCTCTTTTTTTTTTATTTAATGTTCTAAATATAGGAGCTCTGGTAGCGTAGTGGTTACCAATCGGGCTGCGAACCTTAAGGTCAGCGGTTTGAAACTACCAGCTGCTCCGTGGGAGAAAGATGAGGCTTTCTACTCCCGTAAAGATTTATACCCTTGGAAATCCTGTACAGGGTCGCTATGGGTCGAAACCGACTCGACGGCACTTAACAACAACAACAACAATATGGTTTAGTATGAAGCTCTACTACTTTCATTCTCAGATATCAGTTGTTTCTGCCCTCTTTGGACTTCACTGTACTAGATAAAAATGGATCATTTCTTATTCTTCCCTGTGAACCTCCACGCTAACATGTCTTGTGTTTCCTATGGAGCCTTAAGAATTCACCACGTGTAAACCATCTATGTCCTAATTGCCTTCCCCTGTATCCATAGAATCACAGCAGCCACCCATGTTCATGAGGCCAGCAGCAGATCTCATGCCATCTTCACGATCCACTACACACAGGTTGGTTACCCCGTGTCTTTGATGAGACTTCTTCCAATTTTCCTTTTGATTACTTACCTTCCTATCTCTTTTACTTTCATCCTTCCTTTCCATTAACAGGTCCTCTGGTAGGATTTAATATCAAGGAGGACCCACATGCAATTGATTAAACTACTTACCCAGAGAGCATAGAGACATTTCATAAAGATTAATCAAAATGTATTCATATTTTACTTTTAACATTTCCAAGCACTTTTACATCTTTTATGTGACTAGTGTGAACATCAAAAATGAAAAGCAAGGTTGTAATGAAAATAAACATTTAACTTAAAAAGTTATGAGATTCACTTCTGTTCATGATGGAGTGAAGAGGTTAACAAATTTTGTTCACAAAAGCAAGTGTAAAACTGGACAAAATTGACAAAAAGAACCATTTTTATGCTCTAAATATAGACCAAAGGCATGCAACAAACCAAGGAATATTTATTTGTGAAAACTACTAACTTTTGGTTAAGAACAGTGCAAATGTATTGCCTTGGGCTGCTTCCTTCCCACCTGCACCCCTACCTCTGCTGGTGGTGTAGTTTAGTCAGGCCAGACAGGCTGTGACAATCTACCACTGCTAGAGGATGTAGTGCAAGGTTGGTTTGAACTCACCAGCCGCTCCTCGGAAACCCTAAAACAGGGCGGCTCTGTGTAGTGGTTACGAATTGCTAACCTCAAGGTCGGCACTTTGAAACTATCAGCGGTTCCGTGGGAGAAAGATGAGGCGTTCAGCTCCCATAAAGATTTACAGCCTTGGAAACCCTGTGTGTAGGGTCACTATGAGTCTGAACCCACTCCACAGTACTTATCAACAACTGAGTCAGAACTTACTCCATGGCACTTAACAACAACAACAAAGTTTCCCATTTAGATTTCTTGAGTGGGCTGGCTGAAAATTCAAAATATCACCATTTAAGAGAGGTTACCACCACCACCACCACCAAGAGAGTGCCTAAGGAGGGAAAAAAACAGCAAAGTTCCAAATGATCATCTTTAAATGTGTTTTCTCCCTCAGGCAATCCTGGAGAACAACTTCCCCTCTGAAATTGCAAGTAAGATCAACCTTGTGGACCTAGCAGGCAGGTAATTAGGATTTCAAAACCTAGGGGAGTAACTCCCTTGATAATCACTTTGTTCTTGCCCACTGCGAGGGAATAAGCTTGTCCAAACTTTCCTCACATTTCAATCATCCTGAAAAAAATTACAAAAGCAATAAATTCTCTGAATGCCAGGTTAAGAAGTTACAGTTTCGAAGGGCTGAAAAATTCCTCTAAGTCAGAGGTTCTGGACATAGCTGCCCATTAAAATTACCTGGGGACATTTTCAAACTCCCAGGGCCTAGGTTATGCCCTGATCCATTAAATCAGATGACTGGGTAGTTGGGGAGGGAGAAGTGCTAACAGGCAAGCATCTGTATCTTTTAATGTATTCGTACAACACAGGTTAAAAAACAAGGCTCTAAGTGGAAGCACACCTTCATCCTTTGATTTAATATTGGTTTCATGCACCTCTATATGTTAGTGAAATACATAGCAAAAACTCTTAACTATTATGGAAGTGGAAAGACACTGCCTTTCAAAAAATAGAAGGAAACATAAATTATAGCTACACATACAAGGAGGCTTTATAAAGTTTGTGGAGAAATGGAGTTAAAGGATAATGGAATCCTTGGTCTGGGGCAAAATGTCAGAGTAAGCAGATGCACTGAGTCCACCCTCTGCAACAAAGATAGAGGAATCCAAGTGAAACAGATACAGATGGTGATCTTGGAACCCTGAGCACCAGAGGGTAGGACAGTGGATGGATTGAGTGTCAACTAGAAGAGGAAGCTGAACAGGAGCAATGAGAGAAGAAAAATAGGCAGACCTGGGATGGCATGGTGCAGCACAGCTCTCTTGAACTTTTGCAAATGACTGTTGATACAGAGGCATGAAGGCACAGAACTTGGCTGGAGGTTGGTAACAAAGGGGTGTAGTTCTCTCTTGTTCCCGTACTTTTCTGGTAGCTCCTCTGGGAGTGGCCAGTTCTCTTCTTTGCCAACCCAGCGGCCGTCCCTCCTGTGCAACCTCTGCTCCACCTGGGGCATGTGAACCCATCCTGAACTTTGCTACACAGTAAAGAGAGAACTGACTAAATGCACACTTCCAGTCTCTGCCACATTCAGCAGAAGACAGTTGGTGAGTGCCTGAGAATACACCAATGTACAGTCATTAACAAAATATAAATACACCAATGTACAGTCATTAACAAAATATAAATACCACCGTGTCTCAGAGAAAACAGTTTACACAAAGAAATAAGACAGAGTGCCTCAAACAAGTGACCAAAATACAGAGTCAGAAAATATAATGCCAGAAATGGCATCAGAACTACCTGATAAGGAATACATAGGCAAAACTATGGAAAAACTCAGGAAACAAACAGACAAAATAATTGAAAAAATAGGAACCATATAAAAACAGCAATTAGAAAGCCAGCAGATTAACACTTAGACTTCAGAAATAGGTAATACAATGAAAAGACAAAAAATAAAATTAAATCAATGAAAAGCCAAATTACCGAACTTGAAAACTTTTTCAATATTCATCAGGTAGAGGATCAGGAAAAAAAGAGCAAAAAAAAAATCCAGAGAAAGCCTAAGATTTCAGTGGGACACTATCAAGAGGAATAACTTAATATATGATAGGAATTACAGAACAAAAAGAGGCAAACAAAACAAAACAAAAACCCATAGAGAATGTTGTCCAAGAGTTACTGGAAGAAAACTTCCATAATGTCATGAAAGACGAGAAGATAGTTATTCAGAAGTTGAATGAACTTCAAACAGAATAGATGCCAAAAGGACAACACCAAAACATATTATAATCAAACTTCTGAAAACCAAAGCCAAAGAATTTTGAGGGCAGCTCAGGATAAATGAAAAGTTACCTACAAAGGGGAACTAATAGAACTAAGCACTGATTTCTCAACAAAAACCAATGCAGGCAAGAAGACAATAGAGTGACATACGTAAAACTCTGAAAGAAAAAAAAAAATTGCCACCCTAGAATCATATATTCATCAAAACTGTCCATCAAATATGATGGCAAAATTAGGTCATTTTCAGACAAACAGAAATTTTAAGAATTTATAAAACCAGATCAACCTTACAAAAAATAGTAAAGGAAGTTATTTGGACAGAGAACCAATCATAGCAGACAGCTACCTAATACTAACATATATGACAATATCACTAAGACTCGACCCAGATTACGTTGTTGTGTATCTTTGAGTTGGTTGCTACTCATAGCAACCGTGTATAGGTTTTTTATTTTTTTATAGGGTTTCTGAGAAGCTGATGGGTTTGAACTACCAACCTTGTGGTTAGCAGTCCAGTGCTTACCCTACAGTGTCACACCAGGACTCCTAACCTAGATATAGAAGTATGCAAAGTAAAACAGGCCTATGAGACTGAAAATAGAGAACCAGAGATAAAATTACAAACAAAAAAACATCATAAAGTAAAAGAGGGACTAGTGTATACACAGAACTTTCAAGTGAAGAGGAAATCAAGTAGATTACAAAAAAAAAATGAAAATAAATCTAACTGTAAACCTGAAAATGAGACCAAGCTTAACTCATAGCCCCAACCATGACCCTAACAATAAATGAAGTTCAAGGTCTAGCTTAGATCTAGTCATAGTCCCAACTCGAACTCTCACTTCTTATTCCTTACCTGCCCACCCCCCACCCCCCCAAAAAAAAGATTGTGGAATTCTTCCATGAACTTTTTGAAGCCCTCTTTTATATGCAGAAGGAAGAAAAGACTAACATAAAGTAAGGTACATTTTCTCATTGTTAAACTACTATATAATACAGCAACTCTTAAGATCTGAATGCTCTCTGTAAGAAACTATCAGCCCATCTAAGATGTGACTTTTAATATTTCCTAGTTACTTAAAAAAGGAATTTGAAATGGTTGACAGTTAATAACTAGTACTCTTAATTCCGTTAACATTTGAATTTAAAATAATAAAGATAGAAGGAAAGTAATATACTAAAATCTATGTTAATATCATTATTATAAATGAGCATTACATTTAGCTTAAAGTGTTCTAGCTGCCAAAATATAATCAGAAATGTAATGAATTGTTTGATTTTTATTGCCTGAGAAGTAAAAGCATGCCAGTTCATTACAGAATGATGATATTTTCCTGGAACTAAATTTTAAAAGGAGTTTATTATACAGGCCTTTACAGCATGATGTACAAGATGCCTGACATAAATATGTCAAGAGTCTAAAATCTTGATAGTATTTTTTTTCAAGATGGTAAAAACACTGTTTTAAATTGTTACGTCGGTGTTAAAAGTGAATCCTACCTTCTTTGAAGTCAATCACTTTCCTATTTAAAAAAAACAATAAAACAACTTCATAAGGAGTACACACAACTCTTTACACAGTAACATGACCTTGTGTGTATAAAGAACTAAACTCCCAAATCAAAGCCTCATTCTCTTATTAACTTGTGAACATAACAAACATGTTCACTTCACTATGTTCTTTCATGAAAAAAAAAACCATGAAAAATCACAGTCATTTTAATTCAGTCGCAAGAAAAATTCATTTTTTACATAATAAATTTTTGTAGATAAGAAAAATACGATTTACAGTTCATATTCCAATCACAATGTGGCTTTTTCTTCAAATTTTGAGAATCAATATTACAAAGGCTATTTTGCCAACTGTGTATCACATATATATTACCTAGGTGAATTGTAGGCACTCAACATTATATGCAAGGTCAGCAGTTCAAGCTCACCAGCTGCTTCTCGGAAACCCTAGACAGGGTCGCTATTGGTCGGAACTGACTCAATGGCACTTAACAACAACAATAACAAACATTATAATAGGCAGCTATAACAAACTGCAGTTGATCACAGGATACAGAACTTCCCCAAATTGTGAAGGAAATATCATTACCAATTCCATCACATATTATTAATACTATTTCCTGATTGATAGTATTTTTAACAGCATCATAAGGATAATGTCTTATTTGTTTTTTTGTTGTTTTATAGTGAAAGAGCTGATCCCAGTTACTGTAAAGACCGGATTACTGAAGGAGCCAATATCAACAAATCCCTTGTGACTCTGGGAATTGTCATCTCTACCTTAGGTATGGTGATGGTGACTGGATCACAGCAGTGGGAGGGAGACTCAGGAAAACAGCTGGCAGATTTTTTTATTTTGTCAAAATGGAAGGGGAACAAGGTTCTTTTTCCTAAGATTAGCTTATTTGGGACAATGAAAAATTGATATTTGACTGTGAGGTGATAGTATGAGGGGACTTCAAAAGTTTGTGGAAAAGTGGAATGAAAAGAGAATGGATTTTTTTCCGATGAAGTTTTTGAATCTCCCTCAAATAATGTGACCATCACCCTAGCATTATCATTTCAAAAAGTTGCAAGTAAAAAAACCAACAACTGTAAAACTCGTCATGTCAGAAGTCCACATAATAGTTCTCCAACTGTTAGGTTGTTTGAATGTACTTGGAATACACTTGCTTCAGAATTCCTTCTTTCTTCTAGTTCTGTTGTTTATCTTTTAAGCCCAGAACTCCCAAGTATTCAGCAGCTGCCAGAGCCTCACCAGTGCAGCCAGCAATGGTGGTGACAGTGAGATCCCTGGTTCTCACTCTGGGACCAGCAGTGGAGGGGGACCTGCCCGGAGGCAGTCTTACATCCCCTATCGGGACTCTGTGTTGACCTGGCTGCTGAAGGACAGCCTTGGAGGCAACTCCAAAACCATCATGGTTGCTAGTGAGTGGAGTGCTGAACTCTTTCTGTGTTGGGACTGGTATCTGCTTCAGAGAAAGGACTTTGACTCCCCAGGGTTCTTCATTCCTGCAAGGATCTCTCCTACAAACCTGGGCTGTAGCAGCTAGGCAAGTGGTTTGGGGCTGGGTTGGAAAGGCTTGCCATTTGTTTCTAACTTTTCCCACCCACCTCAGCTGTGTCTCCTGCACATACCAGCTACAGTGAGACCATGAGCACCTTGAGATATGCGTCCAATGCCAAAAACATCATCAACAAGCCCCGAGTGAATGAGGTGAGACCCTCATCTAAATTCCTGCTCTGCACTGCTTACACAAAGTTCTCTTTATTTTTCTTTCTCATTGATTTCTTTCGATTTTATAGTCTCCACACCTTGCCAGGTTTCTTCTCTCAGTAATGATGAAGACATTGAAAACTCCTTATCCCATTGTCATACCCTTTTCTCATCTCTACTGATTTTATTCAGTAACTTTTTATGAATGAACTATTTTAGCTACTTGTCTAAGGCCGTTTCTTTCAAGATCACTAGTGCGCTGTAGGCCCTCTAAGAAAGATCATTGAGAAGTTTCTGTGTGTGCTGCTCTTTTTTAGAAATTTTTTATTGTGAATTGAGTGAAGGTTTCAGAGCAGATCATCAGTTTTATATCTAACAAATCACACATTTTGTTTCATCTCAGTGAATGAAATTCCCTCCCCTCTATGTAACAACAGCTATCCTGCTTCCTCCTATTTCTATTCCCCCCACCTTCCCATCCCTTCTCAACTTTGTCCTTACGTAAATGCCCTTTTGATCTTGAATGATTGACTATTCCACGGTGAGCACACCTTACTAGTGTTGTCGTTCTCCCTGTATATCTGTCTACCACTTGACTGAAAATTAAGTCACGGGGGTGAGTTCAGTTCTTAACCTAAATGGTGGTCGAGAGCTATAGTGTTGGGTTCCTCAAGTCTCTTTCTAACCAGTAAGCCTAGTCTTCTTTATAATTTGGAGTTTTGTTGTACGTTTCCTCCTACTCTACTGGGACCTTCTAATGCGCTCCCTGTCAGAGTAGTGGATAGTGGTAGCTGAGTACCATCTACTTCTGGTCTCAGAGTTGTGGGGACTGATGTTCACCTGTCCCATCAGTCCATTGGACTAGTTGGTTCCAAGTATCAATTTTCATCACTCTTCTATCTCCCATACACACCTTAGATGGCCACTTATGGCTGCTCTTATTTTAAAATTTATGTTGATTTATGCTTGTTTTATTTTTTATGTGCAAATTGCAGTGACTCTGTTTTGATCAAGAAAGGAGACTAAGAAATTTATTAGTTTTGAAAGCTAAGTCATAATGAGAATATTTCAAACGCTCCTAATCTCTTTGGCAATTTCAGTGGAAAATCCCAGGGCAGGGATCACACATTGGTGACTAAGATATAAAAGTACCTAGCTCATCTGTGGATTTTTTTTCAAAAGGCAATGTAAGGGCAGGTGTTAAGTATAGTCATAGTCAGGGCTTCTCACTTTGCAACCCCAGAAATAACATTATCAAAATCTACATCTTAAAAGATTCCTGGGAACTATAAGAGTCACCTGGAGATCTTGTTAAACTGTAGATTCTGAGTCAGATAATCAGGTGGGAAAGCAAATTCTCAGCAGGGGACAGAACTGAAATGAACCAGTCAGAAACTTCTAGCACTTAGTACCTTGACCTGCCCTGTGCTGCCTGCCTTGCCCTCTACTATAGGACAGTGATTCTCACACTTTAGTGTATATCAAAATTCCCGGAAGGACTTGTTAAAACATAGATTTCTGAGTCTAACCTTCCAGAGTTTCTGATGTAGTAGGTCTGGGATGGAGCCAGATGATTTCCATTTTTAACAACTTCTCTGATGAAGTTGATGCAACTGGTCCTCGGACCACCCTTTTGAGGTCTCAGTAATCTACTTCTTCCAAGTTGATTGCATACAAATCACAGTCAGGTGGAGGAAGACTGGGGCCTGTTACCAGTCAGTGGTTTACTAAATTCTCTGTGTTGCAGGACGCAAATGTAAAGCTGATCAGAGAACTCAGAGAGGAGATCCAAAGACTGAAAGCCATGTTGTTGAGTTTTGAACTGGTATGTAGGCAATCAGAACTTTTCCATGCTCAAGTGGGGGTCTCCTCCTAAGCCCCTGAAGAGTTAATTTGGGAGGGTCTGTTCCACTGCAGAGGAGACCAGGTGGCACTGCAGGATAAACACTGGACTGCTAACCATAAGGTTGGATATTGATGAGGCTTTCTGTTCCTATAAAGATAGGTAGCCTTGGAAACCCTATACAGGGTTGCTGTGAGTTGGGATGAACTCGATGGCAGTGGGTTTGGTTGTTGTTTTTGGTTCTTCTACATAGACTCTGTAGTCCTCGGGTGGTGCTGTGGGTTAAGGCACTGGATTGCAAAATCGGTTTGAAGGAGGTTCAAGCTTACCATTTGCTCCTCAGAAACCCTATACAGGGTCATTATGGGTCAGAACCTACTTGATGGTATTTAACAACAACAATAACATAGGATCTGGGGCCTGCTCCATTTCATACACAGTTGAGAGCCAGTAGTGGAGCAGAGGCTGGAGCACAGAAAGGAGGGAACTAAATTACTGTGTAGTTCCTGATGGATTGGGCATCTCCTCCCTATGACATCGCTGTTGTCCAAAGGACATGTGCCTGAGTTGACCTTGCTTTATGTGTGGGTAAATACAGAATCAGGACCCTCCTAAAATTTTTTCTGTGAATTGTCCTGTCTTGTACCAGTGTGAGTCGAAATACTTAGGATTCTAATTTATTTCTGATTTTAAAGATAGATTCCTTTACCTTCCTTCACAAGAGTAAGGGTGGGACCCACCTGAATGGCAGACCAGTAAAATGTCAAAGCACATCTCTCTTTCTGCAGAGGAACTTCACTTCACTGGATGATGAAAAAGATGACAATCTGAAGGAACTGGTTCTCCAAAATGAGCTGAAGGTGGGTGTGTTAGGTGGGGTCTCCCTGGAAGCAGGTCTGCCCTTTCTCCATTACTCCTGGCTAGGGCTGTCCCTCTCAGCATTAAAGACAACTTTTGTCTTCACTAAGCCTCAGGGGCTGGTGATAGGCTTTCTGACTTTCTGTTTTGTACTTTCAGGAGTTCATGGTAACTCCTTTTGGATAGTGACCATGATCTAGAAAAATGATGCTTTTTCATTTAGTAAAACAATCACCAAACATGTCTGTATTGGTTACCTAATATTAAACACTTGGCTGCTAACTAAAGGTTAGCAATTTGAACCTACCAACTCTGTAGGAGAAAGAAGTAGCAGTCTGTTTTAAAAATTACAGCTTTGGAAACCCTATGGAACAGTTCTACTCTGTCATATGAGGTAGTTATGAGTCAGAATTGATTCAGTAGCAATGGGATAATATGTGCTCTATGTGATCCTGTAAGAAACGCAAAGAAATCCGTGCTCTCCAATGGCTTGAAAGAAATCCTTACCTCAAGTGGCTTGCTGTCTTATTGGAAACACATTAAGAGAATGGATAACTATGATAAACTATATGGTTTAGAAGAAAGGAGTTTAGAGAAAGAAGAAATTGTGGCTTGTAGTTTTCAGAGTAGGCATCAAGGTGCTGGGGTTAGAAGGCAGAAAATTTAAAGGATTGATAGGGCTTGTTAGGGAGAAAGAGGAAGGCATTTTGGGCAGGGATGGCTAGCATACGCAAAGCCATAGAACTGGGAGAAATCACTGGTGGGAAGCTGTGTGGAAGCATTCCAACAAAGCCACGCCGAATAGAGTAGGTGTGCTTGGAGAGCGTATTGGAGCAAGGTTAGGACCACTGTAAGAGGTGTGAACATGGCATAAGCAGGATTACTTGTTTCTTGAAACAGTTGGTGACATAACAGAGAGTAGTTTAGAGAAACTAGTATGGTAGTTGTATGTCGGCTGGTTTGGAAGAAGGGAAGACTGGAAGCAGAAAGGCCAGACAGGAAAGAGTACAGCCATTCTTGCTATCATTGTCCAGATTATGCCACCACCATAAGGAGCTCTGGTAGCGTAGTGATTACGAATTGGGCTGTAACCTTAAGGTCAGCGGTTCGAAACTACCAGCCGCTCCACAGGAGAAAGATGAGGCTTTCTGCTCTCGTAAAGATTTACACCCTTGGAAACCCTGTACAGGGTCGCTATGGGTCCTTAGCTCGACGGCACTTAACAACAACAACAACATTAGCACAAGCTCAATGTGTCCTACTGGCAGGTTCAAACCACTGACTTTTCAGTGAGCAGCTGAGCACTTAACCATTGTGCCACCAGAGCTCCTTATGTGCTCATTGTTGTTGTTAAGTTCCATCATGTCGGTTCTGACTCATAGTGACTTTGTAGAGGGTTTCCGAAGAACAGATGGTGGATTTGAACCACCAGCCTCACAAGTTAGCAGTCCAGTGCTTATCCTACAGCACCACACTGGGTAGAGTACAGAAAATATCTGTGCCTAAACGTAGCATAATATTTTTTTCTTAAGTATTCTGCTTATGAGAGAAGTGTTTGCCTAAATCAAATTCCTTTTCTTGAGCTTCCTTAGTTCTTCTGTTCCCAGGATAAGCTTTCTGCTTTAGTATTAATTTTCACCAAAAGAAGAAAAAAGGACCCAACTTTTCAACAGTGTCTAGTCACATGCCAAAGGTGATCTTAGCTAAACGTTGGTATATGAGGGAGGTTTCAAAAAATTTGTGGAAAAATTCCATTATCTTTCGATTCCATCTTTCCACTAACTTTTTGAAGCCCTCTTGTATTTATTTTTTTAAAAACTGTTGCTGACATATAGTAAGCACTCAGTGTTTTATTATTATTGTTTTTTTTGTTAATGCATGGTCTTCCAGACCAGCTCCATCTAGCCTTAATTCTTCCTGAGCAGAGTTCTCTGGATACTTTGTTGGTCTTTGAGCTCATATACAAGTTTATGTATAACTCAAGGTATGGTACCTTTGGAAAGAAATGTTAGGTGATAAAACGATCCCCAAATATGGATTACATAGGGAAAGAGAAACTATAAACATAAGATGCCTCACTAACATCCCAATTCGTTTTTAAAAAATAACATCTATGGGTTTTCCCCTAATTATAAAAACAATACTTGCTCATTGCAGAAAAGTTATAAAGTAACATCTATCCGAGGGGGTTTCTCTTTATTAGAGTAACATTTGTTTATTGAAGAAAACCTAGAGAGCCAGTGCACTTTTGAATCCTGTGTGGTTCACATTTTCACATTTGGAAGAGGTACAAGGGTTTTGAATAGCAGTGGCAGTGAGGAACATGAGAGATGACAACCACAAGAAGATCAAGAGAAGTCAGGATGGCTTCCACCCTTTAGTCTCCTGCTCATGCTGTGTGTCTACAATCATCTCCCACATTTCTCTCTGTAGATTGACCAGCTGACTGAAGACTGGACCCAGAAGTGGAGTGACTGGAAGGCCCTCATGGAGCACTACAGCGTGGACATCAACAGGAGGCGGGCAGGGCTGGTCATTGACTCCAGTCTGCCACACTTGACGGCCTTAGAGGAAGATGTGCTTAGCACAGGTGTTGTGCTTTACCACCTCAAGGTGAGGAGGTCGCTGGACTTCCTTCTTCCTGAGGCACTGGCCCAGAACTCAAGGAGGGAAAAGCCAGGGGCAGCAATCACGCTTCTTTTGATTGAAACAGGTGCCACAGATCTGCTTTGAGGCTTGCTTTCAAGAAACTGGTCTCACCAACCAATTGTGCTATGTTTTACTTTTCCATGGATAGACTGGCCAGAGGACTGGAAATCAGAGCAAGCATTCATTTTTAAGCTGTGGTTCCTGTTGTAACTATAACTTACTTTTATTCTTTGTGCCTTAATTTCCTCATTTTAAAGTAAGAACAGTTCTTTTATTCCATTTATGACTTCCTGAGGGACAAGAGAGCATAAAATCCAAATCTCAAAATGCCAATAGCATTCCCAAGCTCTGTAAATACAGGCTGCTCAGAGGCGCTGTTCAGAGGCTAAAGGGGAATTTAAAGATCTAGAACCATTTTCTTCAGTACTTTCCTGCTTCATTCCACACCCAAATGAACAAAAAATACACCTTCTCAATCACTTGGTGGCATGGAAAAGAAGAGAGGAGAATGAACGAAGTGTAAAGCATGAGGGAGGGCCCCAAGAAAAGGGGACAAGAAGCTGCATTCATTCGCCTAGAAACATCAGGGTGACGTTAAGGTCCTCCAAAAAGAACCTGACTCTTGGTCACCTGGAAGCTAGATCCTTATTTCAAAATGAAGCCTTCAGACAGTTGGTGATGGATGATAGAGGGAGCCTTATACCCTGTCCTTATCAAATATACTTCTTTTACTGAAAGGGAACAGTCCCTAGGGATGGCCAAGCATGTGTCACGTGGCCAAAATCCCCAAGTGCACTGAAAACCTAATTTTCATTCTCATAATTGCCCCCAGCTGACACTGAAAAAGAGCAAAGAAATGCTGCTGTTATCTCTGGAGAAATTATCCTCTCAGCACTGCTGTGTGTGTGGATAGAGAGGTGTTAGCAGAGTCCCTCATGTATAGGAGTTCTGTGTTCTTAGGGTAAGCCCTCAGGGAAGTTATCAGAGACTGAAACTTTCAGGCAGAAAGACTTAAAGTAGCTTATTTTCTAGCCCCTCCGTGTAAACCCCTCAAGCAGAAATGGCCTTCAGCTCTTAACCTCAGCGATAGATCTAAACACCAAAAGATCCTTCCATTAGCCACAACCACAGGGAGAGGTTAGAGATCAGGAAGAGACCCGCTGGATTAAAATGGTCAGTGTTTGAATAGAATTGATCTGATGCATTGATTAGATGTGGAGTGAGCAGATGAAACCAGAACTCCAAGTAGGAGAGCATAGAGAGAGTACTAGTTGTTGTTGTTGTTGTTGTTAAGTGCCATCGAGTCGATTCCGACCCATAGCCACCCTGTATAGGGTTTCCAAGGAGCAGCTGGTGAGCTTAAACCTTGCAGTTCAAACAGCTTTGCAGTCTGGTGCATTAACCCACAGCGCCACACCAGGACTAGCAGAGGATTACTGCGATGAGGAAGTTGTGTCACCTAAGTACAGGAATGTGATTCTCACTGCTGAGTCACTGCACAGCACTGTGCCCTCCCTGGGGCCTGGGAGATAAGGTTTCAGTCTAGCCCTAATGCTGAAATTTCTGCATTTTGTTTACCCTTCCTCTCCCTCCTTTTATTTGTTTAGATCTTGGTTTAGGCAATAGTATTAATAGTAACGGCGCACAAGTCTCTGTATTATGTTTACTTTGCTAACCTGGCTGCAAACTCAAAACTAGTCCCTGGCAATACCCTGGAAACTGTTTTCCTTTGGGTCACCTTGGGAAGCAGTCAGGGAGATCGAAGGGGACAGCAGGGAAAGATGGGTGGAGCACAAATTACTGATAATCCTGGAGTTCATCTCATATTTTCCTCTGCTAACTCCTCCTTCCCCTGCTGTTTGGGTTTAAGCCCAGAAGGGAGAACCCTTCCATGTAAGTAGTTGCCGAGAGACTGAAAAACTGACCAGGAGACAGTCCGGGAGACATTTGTTTTTTTCAAAGGGAAAGTGTCTGACCAGGACAATAGTACTGCATCCAGTGATGATGGCCAGTTGGACAGTCAGGTTCCGCACCAGGCTTGTGTGCCAAGGATAGGAGATATGGTTCGGGTTGGTGCTCGGCTGTTCATTAGGAGGCCGGTTTGGAGTGTTTGTGCTTCATCCGTACAACTGCATGAGAGTCAGAGGGGCAGCAAGCAAAGGTGCTCACTCAGCCTAGTTTTTTGGGATGCCACCACAGGTGTTGGTAATTTCTATCTAGCACATCTGCATGGTGTGATTTGCTGTGATCTTTATCCTCTTAGGGCAGTATACCTCCTTATCAGGGCTTGTCCCTGGAGCTTTGACCTCTCTCCTTTGAGCCACCATCTAATTCTGTGATGGTGTTCCCAGCACCCATTTACTCCAGTCCCTGGAGAAGACCATCATGCTTGGTGAAGTGGAGGGTCAGCAAAAAAAACAGGAAAGACCCCCAAAGAGGTTGGCTCAAGTGTAACAGTGATGGAGAGGATGGCGCAGGGCCGGGCAGTGTTTCATTCTGTTGTGCGTAGCGTTGCTGTGACTCGAAACTGACTCGATGGTAACAGTTTCCGTGTGTGAGCAGGAAAGTCTAAGCTGCCGGTGTGTCTGCAGGGGATAAGGTAGAGGCAACCAGGCAGGCAGAGCCTCACTCATTACGCCTGGGAGTTTTCCTTCCTTAAGTTTCAGGGACCTCCCGGCTCTGACTGCTGACAGTGAAGCCAAGTGGGAGGGCTGATCACCAGGAGAGGCGGCATGGTGACGTGGGAAAAGCAGAATCTGAGGACCCAGAGAGTCCTGGATTCTAATCATCAACTCTTTAGTATGGGGGATCCTCAGGCAACTTAAGCCCTTCTCCATAAAAGGGGAGTAACAATTCTTGCATTTGGCTTCCTAACTCCTGGTATCATTTTGAGTGGTTTATTCAATAATGCTATTCTACAAATGGTAAATCTTTATCTAAAATTCAGCATTTCTGTTGTTGTGGTGTCGTTTTCAAATAGACCTGTGGTCATGTGCAGATTGGCCTCAACCCAGTAGTCAAAAGGCCAGCCATTGTCTTCTTCTTCTAACCCAGTGATTCATTCATACTAACTCCAGTTTCTTCTTTATACTCTCTTCCAGTCCTTACTGACTCCAGATGGTACCTTTTCTCCTATTTGTACTTTACCCTTAGAATCTAGTGTCTGTTAAAGCTTCATCTGAGAACCAAAAAGGTAAAGATCCCATGCTTCCAGATGTCTTCATAAAATGCTTATCTCTTAGACCCTGATGGGACTACACTCAGGCCACACTAGCCTAACTCAGCCCCTGAGGCAGAGCTGCACCTGTGTGCCCACCTCCACTGACTAGAGAAATTCTGGCTGATGGCTGGGGTGGACCTTAACTTCAGGCAACAGGACAGACAGGACTGTGCCAATGCTGGTTGGACTTTGCAAAGAGATGCTGCTGCTTCGGCACATAGTTTTTGCCTACTCCTTCTTAGGGGCTTCCTGGGTTGTAGTGAGTGGGTAAAGGGGTCAGAGTAGCCTGGACCAGAACTGAGAAGTGGGGCTTTCGAAAAGGCTGAGGTGGAAGACAGTGATCAACACTCAGACGGGGATTTTCCTGTGAGTGCGGGACTGTCTCACTTTTTATTCTCATCAAAGTGATTTTGTCTTTTCTCTTTAGGAGGGGACAACAAAAATAGGAAGGATTGACTCAGCCCAGGAACAGGATATTGGTAAGAGCACTTGTCTGGCACTTGGTCTTTGTGCCTGGCAGGTTTCTTCAGAGGAATAGCATGGTGCTCTGAGAGGAAGGGATCTTTGAAGTATTAAGGGTCTACTTCCCTACATGATGCTAACCAAAAGGTTGGAGGTTCAAGTCCACCCACAGTCACTTCAAAAGAGAGCCTTTGAGATCTAATTCCAAAAAATCAGCCGCTGAACACCCTACAGAACACAGTTCTGCTCTGACATACATGGAATCACCATGAGTCAGAATCGACTTCATTAGCAACTGGATTGGTTTCTCTTTGTGTTGCCGAGTTTGGGGACTGGGATCTCATAAGGAGGAGACCCTCACAGGGGAAAGATTCAGGTATCAGGAGTAAGTAGCTCTTCCACACCTGCCATGTTGTGAGATTTTCCAGATTTGGGTTCTGATCTCATAGAAAGCATGCTTTGAATGTCTCTGATCCAAGTGATCTGGACCTCTTCTGTAGTCCTGCAGGGCCAGTGGATCGAGAGAGACCACTGCACCATCACCAGTGCCTGTGGCGTGGTCATTCTGCGGCCCACCCAGGGGGCCCGCTGCACGGTGAATGGCCGACAGGTCACTGCCTCCTGCCGTCTGACCCAAGGTAAGTCTGTCTCCCGCTCTGTGTGTCCCCAGGCTGAGTGACAGGCTATAAAGATGGCCCAGCCAGCCTCTGCACACAGAGAACTGAAGATTGTCTAAGATGGGCCTCCCACCAACAAGCCCCGCTTTCTGAGCCCCAGAGTGGAAAACATCCCTCTGAAACATGTATCTCTGTTTGTTAATCTCTGGGCCATTGGGAAAGTCTCTGAGCCTCAACTTCTTCATCTGTAAAATGGGGATAATCATCAGATTGTTGTGAGATTTGAATGAGTTAATCCATGTGATAATCTTAAAGTGTGTTTGGTACTTAGTAAGCACTCAGGTCATTATTATTATCACAATATTACTGTTAGTGCTGGTGAATGGGCTCCAGCTCATAGCAGCCCTGTGGACAACAGAAAACACTATGAACTACTGTAATTAATGTGTTCAAATCCCATCCTTTGAGGCTGAGTTTAGATGCTTCCTCTTTAACGACGCTTTCCCTGGCCATCCTATCTGAAACTCATCTTGCTTTGCCTTGGAGAACTAAATTTTTCCTATTTATTTCATTAATTCAGCATATGCTTGAGAAATTACTTACATCTAATTAACATGCAAGGAGCTCTGGTAGTATAGTGGTTACGAATCGGGCTGCTAATCTCACAGTCAGCAGTTTGAAACTACCAGCTGTTCCGCGGGAGAAAGATGCGACTTTCTGCTCCCGTAAAGATTTGCAGCCTTGAAACCCTGTACAGGGTTGCTATTAGTCAGAACCGACGCCATGTCACATAACAACAACAACAACAACAACACAATTACTATGTGGGAGTGTGGTGGCTCCATACGATAAGCACCTGTGAGCCACAAGGCCTGCAGTTCGAGCCCTCTAGCCTCTCCATGGGAGAAAGATGAGGCTTTTCTGCTTCCATGAGAATTTAAAGCCTGGGAACCCCTGAACAGGCTCGCTGTGTATCTCGTTGACTCTGCTAAATTATCAGCATGTTGAAGCCAAGACTTTGTCTTGCAGAACTGTACCCTGCACATAGTAATAGATACTCAGATGTCTCATTTTTCTCTGTGCTTCAGGGGCAGTCATAACCCTGGGGAAAGCACAGAAGTTCCGATTTAACCACCCAGCAGAGGCTGCCATCCTGCGGCGCCGGAGGCAGGTGAGCAGGGCTGTGTTCTAGGAGGAATAAATAGCCTTCTTGTTTCTCCTTTTTGGGGGAGAAGCTGAAGCTTTGTTTCTGTTGAGGTATGGAGGATGATGGCAGCTTCGCTGTGCTGTCTTTCTTCTTCCCAGGCTGGAGAGGCTGTTGGTGGTAGTGGTTCTTTGGAGTGGCTGGACTTGGATGGAGACATCACTGCTTCCCGTTTGGGCTGCTGCCCTTTGCTTTGGAAGGAGAGGTGAGAAGCAGCTGCTCTTATTGCTGGGAATCTACTGGGTTTGCTTCATAGTCCATCCCAACGTTGAATGGAGAGGTGGTCAGGCTAGCAGCCAAGTTCTGACTGAGGCCTAGTCTGGATTGACTAGGGCAAATGACTGGAAGATAATAAACTTGCTGCTCAGTTATAACTGTCAGAGTAGTGGTCTTAGCCCTTGTTTATTTCCTCGTCGGTATTTCACCTTTCTTCATCAGTAAAAGGTGCATCAAACTATGGCCACTTTGCTCTGTAAGTAAGATTTAAGTGTGTTAACAGAGATGCTTGACTCTTCTGAACTTGCCTCCCTACATCCTGTGTGTGAACTCATAGTATGTGCCACTTAGCTTCTAGGACTGACAACTCCCTCTGAGTTTTTAAAGACAGTATATGACTAAGAGGCCAGAAAAGAAGGACAGGAATGGACTTGGAAAGCAACTGGCGTGGTTTCTCTGTCTGTTGCTGAGTTTGGGGGCTGGGACATGATAGGGGCAATAAGAAAACATGGGGTACTGATCCATCCCCATTTCACCTGCATTGTGACTATGAAGCAGTGAGTCAGATTTCCATTGTCATGCTTCATCTATTTCTGCATAGCATCCCCTTCCTAGAGCTACAGTGAATAATGAGTAATTTCACTTAAAAGAATCAGCAAGCACAAAGCTGGCTCCTATGAGGCAGAGGTTTAAGATGTCCCAAGTGTCCACCATCTCCAAAGGGTACACCACCCCATCATCTCTAACATCAACTACTTTGCCTCCACTCAGTGCTCTCCCTCCTGTTTGTGGGTTTGGTAATTTGTCACAGTGTCTCATAGAACTCATGCGCTGTACTTTAAATGAGGTTTATTAGGAAACTATCTTTAAAATTTCAGAGGAAGCTGTAAGTTCTAGAAGCTAAGTGGCACATACTATGAGTTCAGGACTGGAATCAACTCAGGATGAAGTTCCTCAATCAGGACAGTTTCTTCTTGCTCTCTGCCACCAGAGCCTGCTGGGACCTCACTATCACTATATCCTGCTGGGGGTCTTCTTGGGCCAGTGTTAACAACTCTTGACTCCATGCATGGGCAAGCCCCACTGCAGCCATCTCTGTGGGCTCCTGGTTCCTGCTGTATTGTGCTGCCATCCCTTGCTGTTTTCCATGTTGGATAGCTCTCTGCCTCCTGAGTCTAGGGGGTTCCCAGTACAGGGTCTCAGGGATCAAAGGACACATTCCACCCCAGCTCTTTTTTGATTATAGTGAGGTCCCCACTCTACTCTGAGATTGGCTTTCTTTTAAGCCTAACAACATGGTGAAATTGACAAATCCCCTCATTAGGGTTCCTGTATACCTTATTTACATGATCATGCCTACTCTGATGTGGCGCTGTGGGTTAATGCGCTAGACTGCAAAGTTGGTTGGAACCGCAAGGTCGGTGGTTCAAGCTCACCAGCTGCTCCTTGGAAACCCTATACAGGGTCGTTATGGGTCAGAACCGATTCCACGGCACTTAACAACAACAAACCCGCACAAAAGTATCATTTATCTTATTTGCATTATTAGCAAGCTGTCCAATTTCCTTGGTGGGCCACAAGTACTGTTTGCATAGTCCCAACCAATCTTAGGGTCTCTATGAGTTGAAACTGATTCAACAATAAGCCACAACAAAAAGACCATGGCGAGAAAGGACAATGAAAGCAATCCATCACACCACAGAAGCTCTCAGGTTCTGTCCTCAGCCAGAGTGGCTTCTTCTCCTGGTGTGGCGCTGTGGGCTAATGTGTCAGACTACAGAGTTGTGTGAACTGTGAAGTTGGCAGTTCAGGTTCACCAGCTGCTCCTCGGCAACCCTATACTGGGTCACTATGGGTCAGAATCGACTCAAGGGAACTTAACATAGAAAGATGAGGCTTTCTGCTCCCAGAAAGATTTATAGCCTCGGAAACCCTGTACAGGATCACTATGAGTTAGAACCAACTCCACAGTACTTAACAAAAACAACAACATAGGAGTCTTGGTGTGGTGCTGTGTGCTAATGCACCAGACTGCAAAGCTGTTTGAACTGCGAGGCCAGCAGTGCAAGCTTACCAGCTGCTCCTCAGAAACCCTATACAGGGTCACTATGGGTCAGAACCTGACTTGACGGCACTTCACAAAAACAACAATGTAGAAGATTGGCACAGTGGCAGAAGTGATGGGCACAGGCGTATCGGTGATTGTGAGGTTGGCCCAGGACTGAGCTGGGTTCTGTTCTGTTGTACACCAGGTCACTATGAGTACCGACTTAATAGCACTTAGCAACAACAATAGAAAATCTCAGCAAAGGGTTCAGTACCTGTGAGGTCACTGATGTTAGAAGGCTGTCCAACACCTCAAACACAGGGTTCTTGGGAGAGTTGATGACCTTTGGTGTCTTGTTTCTGAAAGGGATCTACTTGCTTTTTCTTCAGGCCAACAGCATTGGTGGTAGCTAAAGACAGTGTTGGGTCTGACCTTGGCAGTGCAGGTTGTTGAATACAGGGAGCAGAGGTACCCTGACAGTGCATTAGTGTAAGGCAGGTCGTCACAGGAGAGCTGCTGAGGGCCCACAGACAGTGCAAACAGACAAAGGCTTATGGCAAGATGGTCTTAGTGTTGAGGGACTGAGGATTCTCGAGGTGAGGAGTATGTTGGGAGAGATGATTCAGGGTAGAGAGTGTCAGTGACAACGGGGACTCAGCAGGACTAAGGCTGGAGCACTTGTTTTATCCTTTTTGCAGTGAAGTCGTGACAGGAGGCCCTGTTGAAGTAAGGCTTCTACTGAGAAATAAAAGTCTCGTTTTCCCAGAGTTTAGAATTTCACATTGGAGTGAGACAGCTGTGGTTACATCATGGCTCTCTTACGTAAAAGTTATGTCACCTTAAGAAAACAGCCAAACGTGCATGCCTGTTTCCTTACTTCCAGAATAAAGATCCTACCACTCTCTCTCTGGTGACTTGTGAGCAGACTGAGAGTGTGAGTGTGTGTGGTGGACTCACCGGTCTTGTTGTGAGGCATTTCTCAGGAAGGGGCTGCCTCCCTCTCCCTTTCCTGCCTTTCCATCTGAACCCAGCTGACCCACCCAACTCACCCAACCAGCAAACATTGGTCTTCTGCCTTTTATGTCTTCCTAGTACTGTCTCAGGGCACTGAAATGACCTTTCAAAAACACCAAGAATGTACCCTTTCATTCACAGAGGGCTTTCAGGGCCAAGGCCTGCCCACCAACTGCCTCCACTGTCAGCACCAGCTCTGGGAGCCTGTGGGCTGGTCCTGCCCAGCTGCCACCTCTGGGTGGCAGCCCTGGTGGTGGTGGTGGTGTGGTGTGGTGTGGAGTTCAGATCTGTGATTGGACAAAAGAACAATTGGGGAGGGGACTGGGTCAGAGTAGAGGAGAATGCTTGTTGTCAGCTGGGCTCCCAGTTGGGTTCTGTGGCTGCACCTCCAGGAGGGCCTCTCACCCTGCTCTTGGATGGGGGATGGCTCCTAGGTCCCCCGCTTGTCCCAGGCTTTCCCTTGTGTGTTTATCTGGAGGAACATTCGTGGGGTGCCTGCAAAGCTGGAGCTGATCCCAGAGCCAGGGGAAAGTAGCCAGTCGGCCCTTTTCTTATTACAGCAGTGAGCAGTCTATCCAGGGAGTAGTCTGTCCCCGAGAACCATTTGTTGTCTGTGCTGCTGGTATTTTCCCATTGAGAATTTTCGGGGCTTAACCTTAAATGCCTAGAGCTTGGGAGACATTCTTTCTGCCACCTCCTCTGATGTTTTAGTGACTAGATGCTGCGACAGGAGGGGGAGGGGCACAGTGGAGTCCTGCCTCCAAGGGGACCAGACAGCCACTGGAGGATGCTAGCACCACAGATGAGGACAGTCTCCTGGTGGAGACTCTGGTCATTTGGCTGGCAGTGACCTGAAGACTTGTCCTTGGTAATCTACCCAGACATGTAGCATAAGGTCAGTATGTTCTCTTTCACCTGCTCTCTGAGAGATTGGCTCATGGCGTTTAGCAAGGGAGAGGTTTTCAGTCTGACGAGGTGCATATGTTGTGTCTGCAGTGATAACACTAGACAGCTTGTCCTTGGTGGTTCTGTCACTGTTAGAAAGGAAACTGCGTAAGGTCTGCAGAAGGGAGCTGCCACTTTCCTCAGAGAAGGAAGGGTAGTGGGAGCTCTCTTCTAAGGAGAAGCAAATTGTAAATCTGAGGGATGGAGAGAAGACAGCAGAGAGGGGACTTGAGTCATCTCAGGGAATTCCCATTCCCAGCCCATCCCTTGCATCTGGTGGGTCTTAATGAGTTTGTCTAAGACCTCTGGTGGGCTCACTGTGTAATTTGGTGGTTTCTGTGTTCAGACAAAATTTGGATCAGTAACACAGGCATGATACATCTTATAAGAGTTTCTCATTCACTGCTCTTTGTATTTGTGTGGCGTGAGCTGGCTTTCTAGTCCAGGCCTCACATGTGATCATTTTCTGTAGGTTCTACTGTGCATGTTTGCCTTTTGCCCACAGCAATCAGCACAAGTTTTCTCAGGAACACACTCAACTATCTGTCCTGTCCTGGTCCTGGGACCTATTGCAAGTTGAGCCAACCTCTTGGCACCTTCCCAGGGAAGAGATTGTGGTTGTACCAAAGCCCCATTCTGCCCCCATCCACTGATTCACTCTCCCATCCATCCATCCATCCATCACCATCCCCCTAAGACAGTAGTAAGAAATCTTACTTTCTTTTAACACAAGGGCAGTGAACTTCTATAAAGGACTAGATAGCATTTTAGGCTTTGCAGGCCATACCTCCTGAGGCAACTACTCCCATTTGCTGTTGTTAAGTGCTGTCAGTTCTGGCTCATAGCTACCCTGTATAGAGTTTTTGAGGAGAGGGTGGAGGGTTTGAATCACTGACCTTGGATTAGTAGTCCAGTGCTTATCGTACAGTGCCATGCCAAGACTCAGGTTTGTGGGCTGCACAAAAGCACACATCTTAGGCATTATGTAAATGAACGGATGTGTGTATTCCAAAACAACTTGATTTACAAAAACAGGCAGCGGCCAAGTTCTTCAGGCTGTAGTTTTCAGACCCCTTCACTGAGGTGAAGCCCCTGTGCTCTACAAAGTGGCAACTCCCCTAAGAACAGTGAGTCCTTAGAGCTCACTGCTCTGCCTGAGATGGGACCATAGTTGGGGAGCAGTGAGTGAGCTTCTGAGGCTTAGAGTCCTGCGTCCTGGAGCTGGGTGAGAGGACCTGCTTCTGGCTTTTTATCCACCTCAGGCAGATCCTGAGCACTTCTGGCCACTTCTTACCCACTGCCGCTAGGTAGCTCCCAGACAGTTGACACCCTTAGAAATCTGAACATGGATAAAAGTACCCTGACAGAAACAGCATGTGTGGCCCTTTCATAGAAAAAGCTGAGAGTGGCCCCAGGGAAAGTTGGTGTGGAGAAGCTGCCAGTTTTCAGAGGAGAAATTGGACTCACTCACCATCATAGCAGGTGGCGGAATCAAGCACAACCACCCTTTAGAATTATTTCAGAGCTTTTTATGATGGGAAAGTTCAAATATATCCAATTTATTAACTCATGGCTAACCTGGATCAGAGGGGAATCCCAGACCTATCATTTCCCCAGTAAACACTTCTGTGTTCTAACTCCTGAGCCCCATTCCTGGGTCTTCCAATGAGAACAGTAGAGGCCACAGCTCCAGGTCCTCTGTACATACAAACCCTCTCTTCTCGAGCCTGCACTCCCCGGTAGTTGGGGGCTCCTATCTTGGGGTGCAGCAGTTATCTCTGAGCATGTCAGAGGATTTCCAATCCTTCAGTGTTTCTGGGGTTTCTGTTCTATTTAGTATTTCCAGGAGATTGTCAACAAGTACCTTTTTACTCTCTCATTTGTAGGATAAAGCTGCTTAATGTAACTAACATGGTTTTGTTGTTGTTTGAATCTGCTTTACTTTCCTGGTGAGTTTCTTACAAAATGTAGGTTTCCTACAACCTACAACTCTAAGAATAGGTTAGTCTAGTGACCATTCTCCCAATCCTGTACTGTGACATCATGAACTGTCTGTGACACGGTACCTGTTTGTCCCAAGGCCCAGGAGGATGGTAGTTGCCAGAAGTTCAAAGCCCTCTCTACCCTGAATTCAGGGCTCCCTCAGAGGGATTCCGGCTGCCACTGGTTTGTCCTGCACTTGGTTTGCACTTCCCTTGGGTGACCTGTGGCCCCTTCTGTGACAGGAAAGTGCTGGGGGAGCCGTGTGAGGAGACCCACCCGCAGTTGAGGGATGGAGAGACATCCCACAGGGCCCAGATTCACCAGCAGCAGTGCTACGTGGAAGGTTTGAGGCAGCAAATCCTCGCAGGACAGATCCAAGCTGAGCAGGAGCTGGAACTGGACCAGGCTCGCATCAACCAGCAGATTGAAGACAGTAGGTGCCCACCCATCAGGTGTCTGCCTCACCTTGTCTTCCTGCCCTCTCCTACTCACCAGCCTTCTGTAGTCTCTCCTCTCTTTTCTTTGTGATAGTATGGAATCCTCTCAGGGACATGGAGCTGGAGACAATAAGGGAACTCACTTCCCTTTTGTCCCTCAGGCTCCTGGGCCTCCTCCTCACTTCTCATGCACACACTTGTCCCTGCTTCACTGCTGGCGCTGGCACATGCCCTCTGCCATGCTGAGGCTGGGGTTAGTCCTCCCCTTACCCTATGGACCCTGTATTCCCTATCCTCCAGTTCCCCTGGCTAGCTTTTTACTGTAGACATGGCAACCCTGGCTGGAGGTGTCCAAGGCCAGGCAGCCAGGGGCAGGGAGGGATGTGCTGACATTGTCTCTGGTTGTGTTTGGTTGTTAGACCAGCAGTGGCTGCTCAGAGAAGAGACCTGGCTGGCCAGCTTGCAACAACAGCAACAGAAAGACTGTGTAAAAGAGAAAGAGCTTGAGGCCCCTGTGGTACTGAATACTTGGCTTCAGACAGATGCTGAGGTTCAACCATCACCACTAGTCCGAAGCCAGAAGCGGGTGGTGCAGCTGCAGCTCTTGCGGAGACACGCTCTTCGGGCAGCAGAGCGGAACGTCCGGCGGAAAAAAGCCACGTTCCAACTAGAGAGAATCATCAAGAAGCAGAGGTTGCTGGAGGCCCAGAAGAGCCTGGAGCAACTCAAGGTGTTGTGCTGGCTCCAGGATGACAGCTCCCAGGAGCCTGCAGACCAGGTCTCCAGCCCAGATGCCACGGTCCCGGGGCCTCGACGCAGAAGCAAATCAACAAGTTGCAGTTCTTTGAGCCAGTACTTACCCCAGCCACACAGGTACTGCTAATGGTTGCCGCTGGAAGCTTGTGGGAGGCATGGAGTCTTTAGGGCTCTTGGCTGAAGTTTACAGCCTTGTTGTCCAGGCAGTGAGTGTTCTTTGCGTCCTCATGCCTCAGTCTCCTCAGTTTGTGAAATGGGAAGATGTGTTTCTTGATCTCTAACCCACCACTTCTTTTATTCTCTATAGTTTATGTCTTCCAGGACTCAGGCTGCTCCCCTTCTCAGTAACACCTCAACACATCAGCTCTTGATGTCTTCAGCTTCTCTCTCACCAGCTCTTTAATCCCTGGCTGGCCATAGACAGCTCCTCATATATGTCTTCCTATCATCCATCTCATCCTGCCTCAAACTGGAGTCATCCTTCCCACAGGCTGTCCCTCTCTCCCTTCCACGCTACCTGTCACCTCAAGCAGACTCCTGAGCCCACTTTCCAGCTTGGTCTGTACAGCAAGCACTGTCTTTCTGATTCCTGAGTTCAATCCTGGGATCTTTGTTGTTTCTTTTCTCCCTTACTTCTTATCAAGGTGATTTGTGTTTTTGTTTGTTTCTTTCTATATATTGCCTGACAAATTCCTTGGAGCACTAGTCTGTGTCATGTACCTCTTAATATCCTCAGGACTTAGCCCAAGGGCCACAATTAATGTCTCCTATAGTTCTCACCTCTGGCTTTCAGAGGACTGTTGTTACTGTTAAGTGCTGTCAGGTCAGAGGACTAGACAGGATTATTTTTAAAAGCCTTTTTATTGTGAAAAAATTTCAGACACATACAGTAAAATCTGCAAAAGCCAGACCTGTGTAAAGTAGAAACTTGCCAGAGAAGGAATCCTCAAATGATCCGATTGAGTGAGGGAGGGAGGGAAAGGCAGGGTGGAGGTGGGGGTGGAGGAGGGGAGACAGTGAGTCTGAGCCCATGACAGGCGCAAACCTGCGGAACACCATTGAGTTCCAGTTTTCCCCAGTCTAACATATATATGTGCCAAAACTTTGAGAAGAGTGCCCTCTATATGAAGTATTTAATAACAAATTATCCAACTCTTCATTATAAAAATCAGTAGTTTAAAACTAGTGAACAGCTATAGATGGGAGGCTTCCAAAGTTCATGGAAAAATGGAATTAAGAGAAAAAGGAACTTTCCACAAATTTTTTGATGACCCTTTGTATATTAATTTGCACTCTTACTGTGCTTTTGACTGGGCACAGTCTTGTTTTTCCTAGTAAGTTTCCCACCTTTAACAGGTTCTGACTTTCGCAGGTTTCACTGGAGAAAATTGAGAGAATACTATACCCCATCACTCATATTCAACAATGATCAAGATTTATCACATCTTCCCTTTTTCTGATGATATATTTTAAAGCAAATCCCAGACACAATATCATTTTGATCCTACATCATAAAGTATACACCTTTTTAAAATATGTGGACTTTTTTTTTTTTAACTTTGTGAATCGAGTGCAGGTTTACAGACAGGATCATCAGCTTTACATTAAAAATATATATATGCTTTGTTTCATCCCAATGATTACAATTCCCTTCCTGCAACAACAGTCTTCCTACTTCCTTCACAAATGAACAAAGCAAAAATATTTCATGTACACATATGAAACAAAACAAAACATATCTGTTCACGTAAAGGTCCAAAGGGCACATTCTGCAAGCCACCCTCTTTGCCCCCAGGTGCACAGCCTTCCTCAGTCCATGGGCATAGAGCCTGCAGGTACTGTGTGTCTCCTGCCACCGCTTCTGCTGTTGCCGCTTTTCTAGGTAGGAGCTCATGCTCTTCCTTCCTGATGGTCCTGGGATTGTCTGTTCCTGAAATGAAAGATTGATTGCTTCCTCTTTTTAGTTACACATCTTCTACAATTACAGTTGTGCCAATCACACCTAATCCTGCTCACAATCACAACTGAATCATGGAATCCTATCCCCATCATCGCCCATTCCCTTTCACCAGATCCATCTGGAAAAGAGGGAAACTCTTCAGTGGGGATTAGGTCAGTTGTTCTTTAGAATATACTGCTTTATAGATTTGTCTGTTAAACCTATTCCTCATATTTCCTATTAACTGGAATTTTTTTAAAAGTAGTGGTTAATTCCATTCAATCCTTTTAAAAGATAGGGAAAGTGAGGAACAGAGTGTTCCTGGGCTTGTCTGAGAGCCGGGATGATGGGCAATAGTTTCCTTTTGCACCAGTAGACCTTTTTTCTGATCCTAAGACTACAAGAGGCAGTGCACAGGGCTTTTAAAGCAAATGCAGTGGAACTTCATATTCCCTCTGTCAATAGGAAGTCGGGGGGCTCTTCCTGTCTCTGAGATGGCTTTCTTTGTCTCTCTAGCATTCTCCTGCATTGGGATCCCTCCATCACATTACCACCTATGCCTTGTCCTACTCGCCAAATGTCAGAGCAAACGTCCTCAGAAGAGCATTTACTCCAAGCTGCTGCTTACCCTCCATGGATGAGGAGGGTCAACAAAAATGACCTCTGTTCCTCAGGCCAGGGACAGCTCTGTACAGCCAGGCGAGACATGGCCATGAAAGGAGCGTCAGCTCCCAGCACCTGCCTCGCTATGAGCCCTGCATCTGCCAGTGTCCAGGAAATGGAGAGAGTAGGTAAGCAGCCCCGTCGGAAGGTGGCCCAGGACTCAGCATCTCTGAGTCAACCAGCTAACAAGCTAAAACCAAAGGAGGAGGCAGAGGTCCTCACCCCTACCTCCCGGAGCAGAAGGGCTAAGGGAGTAAAAGGATCTGGCTATATGCGAGCCGGGTGGCGAAAAGAAGGGAACCTCTCAACCCACAAGGTTGCCAGAGAAGCCAGTTGCAGCTCCTCTCATCCCCGGGAACCCAAACAGACATCTGGGCGTGGAAAGGCAGCCAAGACTTTCCGGGCAGACTCGAAACCAGCCTTTCCAAGCAGGGCATCGAATAGGCAGCCGAGGGTGCTGGCAGTAGTCAGAGACACTGCCCAGCAGTCCTGGCATTTGCCTCTTGGCAGTCCTTTAAAGTGGCAGCACGGTGCAGGAGACCCAAACACTATGGCCCCACTCACAGATGCCAGCCCTGTAGTAGGTCATGCAGGAGAAAAAGATGGTGGTTTCTCTGACACACATAGCGACTGCTCGGTGGATTCTCTCTCCTGTGACTATGCCAAAGCTCCAGCAATGCTGCTGAAGCCCCAGGAGTCCCAGGGGAAGAAGCTGGGTCTCCCAGAGCCAGAGAACTCTGAAAGTGATGAGAGCCAAATATCTGAAGACTCACTGACTGAAAGGGGTTACCAAAGCCAGAAAGACAGTACTGTGGGTAGTTATGTCACCAGTGACCCTGGCTACCACATGGACAGACTGAAAGCCTCTGAGAGGGACCACACCACACACACAGACAGCGGCTTACTTGCTCACACTCACAAGAGCTTTTCCTTGGATAGTCTGATTGATGTTGAGGAAGAACTGGGGGAAGATCAGCAAGAAGAACCTTTACTTGGTTCACCTGATGAGATGCCCACAGAAACTTTTTGGCACCTGCAGAGTTCCAGTGTGTCTGGAGTAGATCAGGAGGTAACAAGCAATTCATTTTATCTTGATCATCCTCCATTGCAATCCCATTGCAACCCCGCTCCTGAGCCAGCGGCGGAGGCATGCTGCTCAAAAAAGGCCTGCTCTCCCCCAGGCATACTGCCATCCAGAGGGAGCCCGCTGATATCCATGGATTCCTGGTTTTCTTGTGACTCAAAGATCAACGCCAGCAACCCCCCAGGAACAGTGGGATCGTTATGTCTGAGTCCTGATGTCCAGGAATGCCAACCCTGTGGTTGGGAGAGACGAACTATGGAAGAACTGAAGCTGTCAGGTGCGGAAGTTGTCCTGCCATATAGCTTCAAACGGCTCAAAGGGAGTGCTGATCTATCCTGCGATGTCAGAGATGAGTACACAACCTCTGCTTCTGATATGTCTAAACTGTCACTCTGGGAGACTCACCAACTTCTTCAGCCAGAAGCTGATGGCACCTCTCAGGGAAGCTGTGGTCCTGACATTGCAGAGCGGGGCACCTCTGAGGCATCTAACAGCTCTAGTGTGTCCAACGTGTTGGCTGCCTCTGCCGCCTCCCTCACCCATCTCAGCAGTACCTGTGAAAGGAACTGGTCTACCCTTCAGCAAAAGTACCTCCTTGAACTGTCTCATCCTGTTCTCAAAGCCATAGGAGAGCCCAGGCCGGCTTTCCCCTGCCTTGAGGAAGACTCTGGTTCCCTGGCCCAATCTTCTGGCACAGCAGGAGATACTTTCTTGCTGGTTGGACCTGGGCTGTCTAGCAATTTGAATGTCAACCAGTTTTCCATCCATCTAGCTGAAAGTAGGCACTTGAGAGCAGAGAAAGAAGATAGGTTGACTGACAAATCAGAAGGTACTTCACGTTTTTTTAGGATTAGTGAAAAAGAGGTGAGTTATAATGAAACTTCTACAGCTGACTTAGAGTCCCTGGTTTCTGGAATGACAAATACACACGTTTTTGCAGCAGAGATCCCAGAATTGATGGCAGAAGCACATGAAATCAGACAGAGCCATTTGGAAGTGTGCTCTCAGGGGGGCAGGACTCCTGCACCAATGGCTCCCTCTGATAACTATGTCTCCCTGGAGACCCCTTGTCACGGTAATGGCGCCATGACCATCAAAGACCACCACTGGTCCCAAGGCTGGGCGCCTCTCAGGAAGAATATAGCAAGCCAGACAGGGCAACCAAGGTACAACAGCCACCACGCACTCCTGGAAGAAGATGCAGATTGCCAGGAGAGCTCCCAAGACACACAGTTTTCCTTTGCCGTTCCATCGGAATCAGAGCTATACCTGCCCCGTGCTCCCTGGGATCCGTTTCCATCTTCCCTGCAACCACCTCCCTTGGAAACATTTTATGTGACCAAAAGCAGGGATGCCCTAACGGAAACTGCCTTAGAGATTCCAGCGTGCAGAAAAATGAGGGTACGTTCGCCACCTCTCAGGGAAGCCTGGGGTATCAGTCATGACCACCAAATCTGCCACGATGCTTCTTTAAAGAAGAAAAGACCAGTTCTCTTGCAAATCCAAGGCTCTGAGATGGCCCTATCTCAGCAGGTCACAGCACAGAGGCCAGCTGATCTGAGCACTAGGGACACTGTCAGAGAAGTAGGGAAATGTCCTACCAGTCGTCGAAAAGAAAGCCATAATTCTATTTCCGTTGCTCAGAACAGACATATTTTCTCATCTGTTGGCACAAGAGCATATAAATTAGAAAATCAAGTTCGAATTTTAAATAAAAAAGACCAGAACCAGGCCTTCGACATGAACAGACAGTTTTCTTCTAGGGCCAGGTCTGATTTTGTCTATAAAAACATCAATTTAGGGCTTGAGAAGAACATGCTAGGAGAAACGGCTATTTCTTTGAAGTGCAGGCCAGTAGATCACAGTGCCAACAGCCAAGTAATAGTGAGTCAGGATGAGAACCCTGCCCACAAGTGGGAAGGGAAGATTGAAACTGGGCATCTTAGAAAAGCTCTCCATCCTAAAGACAGCTCTGATGAGTTTAAGCTTCCAGGGATATACTGTACATATGAAAGATTCCAGACAGTTCCATCCATTCCAGAAAGAAACCTCAATGAGTGCAAGCAACCTAGAAAGTCACAAGAAAGGACAAAGGAAGAATCTTCTGGAAAAAGACAGAATAAAAGGGTTAATAATGATGATGAAATGGCTAGGCTAATTAGGAGTATAAAGCAGCTAGAACATAGCCTCTTGGAAATTGGATCCAAGCAGAGTAAGCATCTACATGCTTCCCACATTCCAGGAGTCAGTAAAGAGAGAGTGTTCCAGGACCACGAGAAGGCTGACCATATCCTGAGGCCAGGTAGTCCTCGAGACCACTTGTCCTTCAAGGATCAGTCACCTTCTCCAAAAGAGCATGTCATCTTGAGGGATAGTGAAGCCAGAGAAATGAAGGAACTTAGCAGTTGCCTTAGGAAAGATCCCCGGGTGCAGAGTCCCTTCAAGACAAGAGAGTGTATAGAAGAGATCCAACTTGTGAGAGAGCCCACTCACTCAGCTGCATTAGATAGTTCTGCCAGGGAAGCGTGGGATTATTTAGGGACATGCACAGCTCACAGAGATCCCACCGAGACTTCCATTCACCCAAGGAGAAGGACAGCATTGGCCAGAACTTTGCCATTACAGCCCTGGCAAGAGAAAGCTTCCCAAAATGAGTGTCAGTTGTTCGGTGCATCAATTAGCCCCAAAGGGCAGCCCTATGATTTGACAGGTCTTGAGGAATTGGAAATTGTGGGAGGTTTCCAAGAAAACCACGTTGCTGAACACACAAGCAGTTCTGAGCAAGAGCAGCTAAAAGTTCAAGGCAGGATTGGAGAAATTAATATGCAAATGGGAGGGAGCCTACAAGGGGAAAATAAAATGGGCTCATCAACTCAGAAACTTCTTAGTCCAAGCCTGCTTTGTATGAGCAGGTTTTTCAGCCAGGAGACTGTCTGCCCATTGCTGAGCCAGACAGACACATCAACAGCTGCTTCTTACCAAGACCTGATGAACACGGTGCCCTTCAATTCTCCAGGGTTGCCACAGAGCTATTTTTATGCACCTGACACTGTAGGCATCTTTTCAGTTGACTATGTGCTGGATCCCACAGTGTTTAAGATTCATGACAGTCCCTTGGTACCTCGAGTTGAGCATCAGGACCAGAGTGGAGACACCAGAAGCTACAGTCCTCCGGGACATGTTAGAGGGATCACCTCTGTCTCACACACTGCTTGGTGTGGTCCTACGATCTCCATGGCTCTAGGATCTCTCGGTCAGTCTAGTATTCCAGAGAGCATTTCCCTTGAGGAAGAGGACAGGACTTTAGCAAGCACCAGCCCCCCAGACCAGGGAGCAGGTCTCAGAAGCACCTTCATGGACGTGAGTATCAGGGAGGGTTTTGATTCTGCAAAAGAGGCAGCTATACAAAAAGAAAGAAAGAGTCCACTGAGGTGGGTCTCTAGCCAACATGAAAACAAAGTTGGCGGCCCCTTTGAAGAGGGTGACTTCCAAGACAGAAAGACAAGGCAGAAAGCAGAGAATGATGCCGAGAACTTCAGTCTCACCAGTGATAACATCTCAGAACCTGCTTCCCTGACCAAAGTTTCCAGTCCAGAGCCCAGGGTGTGGGAGCACTCTGTCCATGCATCCTTGTGCCTGGCTCTGTTGAAAGAGGTCAGACAGGCAAAGGCCCAGGGAAAACAGCTTAATAACTTTGTGGCTAGGAGGACAGTCTTTCCTTACTATGAGACTTTACTAGAACCAGAGTGTTCTTCCAGGGTGCCTGGGATGCCTCAGTATAAACAGATGGACCAGCCAGAGTGGACCAGAGCCAGAAATGAAGGAGAAGCACAGGAATTTCATGTGAGAGCTCTGTCTCCTGAACCAGGACATCTGTTGGTGGATGAGAGGAAAATTCTTCAGACCACACCCCTCCCTGTAGAGGACTTCCAACTTCTGCCCTCCTCAGAAACTCATGAAGGGACCTGGCTTCCCTCACAGGCTGCCTCCCCGGCTGCCCCTGCTTTAGACAACAGCCATTTCACTGGAGAGCTGAGACATCTCCTAGGGGGAGGTAAACAGTTTATATGTAATTCAAGTTCTTCTGAAATCATTGAGAAGAAAGAAGCAACCAGAAAACCTTTCTCTCCTGGTCCTTTGGACTCAGAGGAGGGTAGGAGAGTAGAACCACAGAAAGTGGTGCCTGCCTTGTCTTCTCAGGCCCCCTCATATGACCCTGAAATAATGCCACATGCACCAAGTGAGCGAGCCATATGTGACACTGCAGATGGTGCTCCCCCTGACTGTCAGGAGAGACGCCCAGAGCAACAGGAGCTTAGCACCCAAGAGCCCCCCTATGGAGGAGGATCAGGGAACTTCTTAGTGTCTAAACAGGAAGGAAAAAGCACTTATTTTGAAAGTCAGTCTGTACTTTCTGATCAAAGTTCTGCAAGTGTCTCAGGACCAAAGCAAGACCATGTCCAATGTCTTGATGCAACAGGTTTAGAAGATGTCATAGGCTTAGAAGATGGGAGAGCAAGTCCTAAACCAGGGGCCCTCAAGCCTGGAGTTGTGAGAAGGGGTGAACTTGAAGAGCCCTCTCAGCAACAGTGTCCAAACAGGAACGGGAGTGTCGGGTCTGGGATTACAGAAACCTGTAGATCTGGCAGCAGACATCCCAGGTTAAGTTCATTGCCAGATCCAAGAGCTAGCCTGGAGCCTGGGGGCGTTGGGGACGAGGCCCCATTTAGGTGCGTAGGGGAAACTTTCCATTGTGCCAGCTCCGGGAGCATTGATGGCAGCAGAGCTCTTCCTTCCCTGCAGCTCAGTGATGCTCAGCCTGGTGCTGTGCACACTTGCTCTCCCTGTGCCATCCCCTTACTGTGTCATGGAAGTGGTGACCAGGAGAGGGACACTTCCCACCCACCCTGGATAGTACCATCCAGGACCTATAGTGGTGACAAGAGAAGAGCAAGCCATTCCAGGGAACCCGATATGCTCTTGGCACATGGCCTGAAGCCCACAGACATGAATCTGGAGTTGGAGCCAGCAGATTACAGCACTTTGGAGGCCTCGGTGACAGCTGCTGTCTCATCTCCAGCTCAAGGTTGCAGTTCTCCTTTGGCTGCTGACAAGAGGACGGGTTCCCTCGCCCACTCAACTGCTGAGAAAAGCTCAAGGTCAGCAGAGGGTCCTGAGAGAAAGTCTGAGAAGAGAGCCAGCATTGAGTCTGAGAATGTACCACCTCTAGGCATGTGCTCTGAGCCACTGAGGAAGTTTCAGGACAGCTATTCCAGAGACCAGAACTCAGTAGTATCTCAAACCAAGCCAAAACCACCCACAACAAATAGAGGTCCAACTGCACAGAACTTCAGTGAAAGGTCTGTTGAGAATGAGCTGGTGGCAGAACCACAGTGTCGTGGATGTTTAGAAAATACCTTTAGATGCTTCTCAGAAAGGTCACAGCTTTCCACAGAGTCCAGAGATCACAGTGCCTTGGATTTTCAAGCCAAGTTTGTAACAAGCTTAAAACATGTCAAAAATCCCCGGGTTGATAGTCCCTGGGAGGAGGAAGAGCAGCAAAGAGACCCTGCCCAGGACAGCAGTTGCCCACCTTCAGATGAAGATGGCTTGGGCGGTCAACTTAGAGATGCCAGGACAGAGGAGGAAGTCGTGCCCCAGCTGGAAAGATTGTCATCAGACTTTGAAGATTCAGCCATTGTGGGTTTGGGGCAAAGCAGGCTGGGCCAGCCCTGCTCTGTCAGGGAGCAATGGTCTTCCAATCATCGGGGCTCAGTTCCTGTGATTGCAATTGCCTGTCGCCCCAAATGCTCCTTCAGGGCACCCCCCAGACCACAGTTCTCTGTGGTCAGCTCTTCCCGATCTCTTCAGGAGCTGAACTTGAGTGTGGAACCTCCTTTCCCGACAGATGAGGACACACAGGGAACTAACAGATCATGGAACCCACATCCCAAGGACTGCTCAGGAGAGGTGACGGCCAGAGCTGCTCGGAAAGCTGGGGACTGCAGCCAGAAGGGCTCATCTAATTCCAACACTAGGACTGCTGATCATGGGCCATTAAAACCTGTCGCCTTGCTGTACCCACCATCTTCAGCTCCCTCATGTATGCCAACCCCATCTATCCTGACCAGCTGGATGCCTGGCACGCTGAAGCAGGCCCACAAGGGAAGGCCTGAGAAACCTACTGGCCAGAGCAGGCCACAGTGCCTTCCTGAGGCAGACAAAAGAATGTTACATGTTGTCTCCAGTGACATCAGTCCCTGTGTTCTGCCCTGGTGTTCAGACAGGCCTGAGTGCATGAGCTGGAAGCAGTTTGTGTTTGGCAGTGCAGTTGATGTCTCCAGCAGCCACACAGTCCAGGGCCTGACATCATCCAACGTGGCCTGGAGTTCCAGCATGGACAAGGGTCTAGAAAACCAGAACACCCCCTTTCACTCCCATCTCAGCTCCTGTGCCAATGCCCAGAACCTGTCAAGCACACACAGCAGCACTGAGAATGCCCAAGCTTCAAATGAAGCTTCAAACATATGGGACCGCCACACTGTGACAGGTCCTGAAGGAGCAGACCAAGGGTCTCAGTTTAAGGGCCCCCCTGATGAAGCAGGCTTGGAGAGCAAACCCTCATTGCCTGGAGAACATGCTGCAGGTCCAGTGGATGAAATGTTGCTGCTGTATCCATCAGCTGCAGACCACATTGGGGGGCAGGCCAGAGTGGGCACCTTGGAGCAGGGCACGCAGACCCTAGGCTCCAGGCTCCACTGGAGTCACACCGATGCCACCTCTGCTGCACCAGAAGCCAGTGCTTCGTTAGCCTCTCCTCTGGCCTCATGGACCAGCATGCACAACCTCTCTCTCCACTTGTCTCAGCTTCTCCACAGTACCTCAGAGCTGCTGGGGAGCCTCTCGCAGCCAAGTATGGCCAGAAAGGAGCCAAATACCAAGAAGTCTCCAGGCGAGGCCCCACAGGCACATAGGATGGATGGCTGTACTCAGACCACTGCAGATAAGGGTAGCCAGACTGACCTACCCTCACTGCCTCTGCCCCTCCAGCCACCAGAGACCAACCCTCAGAAAGTCAGTGTGATACTTGAAGTGCTGGGCTCAGATGTCTCAATGGCACCAGAGAAGAGACAGGCAGAAGAAACAGAATGGAAAGTGGCTGGGCCCTCAGATCTCCAGAAAGAAAGCATTCACTGCAGGCCGCAGCAGCCTCTGGTCACTTCATCCCGTTTGAGGTTTCAGAAAGAGCCCCTTGAGCAGAAGCTCTCTCCTTTGAGCCTCCAAGATTCTCCCACTGTTTTCCTGCCTCTTTGCTCCCAACCAGAGACATCCTCTTGCCTGGTTGCCAGCAGCCCCAGCCCCAGTATCTCTCGCTCCTCAGGGCTCTTTCCCAATACTGCAGAGGCCACTGGGGAGCCTCGGCTCCAGAAGATACTGGGCCTCCCAAGTGCCTTGTTGGTGGACAGGGCCTCCTCCCCAATCCTCACACTTAGTGCCAATGCGCAGGGGTCAGGCTTCCTCCCAGGCTCAGTAACTCCCTCAGCCCCCTCAGCCCCACCTCTTACAGGCCACCAGAAACTTGTCTCTAGCCCAGACCTTCCTCTTGATGCCCCCACACCTCCCATGGGTCATTACCCGCAACCCAGTGATGAGTTGAGTGACTCCCAAAGAGGCGAGGCTGTGTGTGGAGAAGGCGGCAGCTCCTTAGAAAGGAGGGACAGGACAGCCTTCCTTGAGTTACACATGTTAGACAGCCCACAGCCTTGCCCAGAACGCCAAGCTGGTATTTTAGGACAGTCTCCTCAGCAGCTTGAACCTGGGACCACCCAGGCGGTGCCCACTTGGGTACAGAAACTGCCACTTCCCCTGCTGAGGAACAGAAGATGGATGCTGGCTAAGAGTGATGCGAATGAGGAGGTGGTTTCTCCAGAGTGTGACCCACTGAGCAGCCGGGGTCCAAGTCGATCTCTGGAGGTGTCCTCTCCACAGGGAGACACAAAGCACCTCAGCCCCTGCCCAGGCTCCGAGTTGACTGATATCACAGGTCTCCAAGATTCCACCTCGGGCCCAGCTAGGGTTTGCCAACCTGAGCGGCTGCTGAGCCCTGATTCCCAGACGTGCTCAGCCCCTGTACCCTCACACCACAGCTTGGGGGACCTTCCAGTGCATAACAAATTCAGTAACTGGTGCGGGGTTTGTGATGACTCTCCTGGGGGGTTGAATATGACCAAGGAGTTGGGGACCGGATGTGATATCAGCTCTGAAGACCAAGAAGAGAGGCCCCCACACACTCCTGAGGACCAGAGCCAGATTCCCAAGTGGACCCAGAGGGAGCAGATCCCTCTGCAAGTTGGGGCCCCGAACTTCTCTGTCAGCACGGAACTCACAGAAGCGAAACTGCACCACGGCTTCGGGGAGGCAGATGCCCTGCTACAAGTGCTGCAGAGTGGGACAGGGGAGGCACTGGCTGCCCACGAACCTGTGCACTCCGGCTGGGAGGAGCTCTATGCTCGGTAAGGGCCCTCACCGGAGGGCAGGGCTGGGCTGAGAGGAAAAAGCCCTCAGTCCTTCCCCAGCCCTGGGATCTCCTGGGAACCAGGGGAAGGGTCTGTAAGGTAGAGATGGGCATTCAGGGCCAGCTTCAGTGAATCGACCACATTTTGTCTCAGGCAAAAAAAAGCCATCCAAACCCTCTGGAGAGAGCGGACTGATCGACTTCATAACTTCCGCCGGACACGAAGTCTGAGTCCCCAGAAGCAGTTGAGCTTCCTATCCAACTTGGACTTCCCCAGCCGGCGCCGAGAATATCTGCAGCAGCTGAGAAAGGAGGTTGTGGAGACCACCAGGTAAGGGAGGCCCAGGATCCTGTGGGGAACAGGCTGTGTGGGAGGGGCGAGGGGCTGGGTAAACAGGCTGGAGTTATTAGCATCCTGGAGAGTGGAGGCCACAGCTTTCTCTGCAAGGAAGGACCCAGGAGACATGCCTGGACGGGCATGTGGAAAGGAGGTTGGAGGGAGCAGAGGTGAGAGGTTGACTGGGCAGGAGCACCCTCTCCTGAGGATGTAAAATCAAACTCCTAAGACCCTGAGTTAAACGGGTGGATAGGCCATGTTAGAAGGCCTCTCTCTGCCCTTGTGGTCCTCCCCAGGAGCTCAGAGGCTGCACCTCGGTCTGCTCATTTGCCCTCTGACATCGAGCTGATGCTGCGAGACTACCGACAGGCCCGAGAAAAAGCCAAAGTGGAGATTGCTCGGGCCCGGGACAGGCTTCGTGAGCAGACTGAACAGGAGAAGCTGAGAATCCGCCAGCAGATTGTCTCCCGGCTGCTGAGGGTAGGGAATGGGAGTTGCAAGACTTGAAATCTGGGGCGTACCTCAGGCCGGGCCAGCCTCCCCTAGGCTGCCTCTGGGACCTGGGGCATGGCACATGGAAGGCACACAGAGCCCTGGTGCCAGTTTGGAGCCTGTGTCTAGGAGGAAGTGGCTTTGGGATGTAGGCTTATGGAATATGAGGAATGGAGACTTTGTGGAAGGGGGAGGCTATGAGGCTGAGATGGGGAGCTTCTGAGAGGTGAGAAGGGGTGGCTTGGGGGTTGAGAAGTGGGCAGTAAAGGTTTGTGCATCAGAAACTGTGTTAGGTTGTCCTGTCCTTCCCAGGAAGAGGAAAAACTACACACACTGGCCAACTCCAGCCCCCTGTGCACTAGCTCCAGTGGAAGTCTCTCCTCTGGCTACAACAGCAACCCGACCTTGTGTGGCCAGCTCCCATCCCCAGATAGCCTGGTGAGTAGCTGGTCCATGTGGAGCATGAACCCTGAGCCCGGACCACTGAGACAGGAGTTTGGGCAGGAAGGTCTGTCCCTTGGGGTCTGCTGCTGCCATGAGCCCTTCCCACGAGTTGCAGCCTTGCACTTCCCTTCAGTTCTGTCTCCTCCTCCCTCTGTATAGTCATTTCCTCAACAAATAGGCATCACCAAGGCACTGGGAATACAGCGGGTGAGCAAAACTGCACTTTTCCTTAAATAGACTGTTGTTGTGAATTCCAACTCATGGCAACTCCATGTGTACAGAACAGAGCAGCTTCATAAAATTTGTTAAACTGATCTTCCAGAAGCAGGGTCAGGCCTGTCTTCTGAGATACCTCGAGGTATCTTTTGGCTAGTCGGCAAGCACTTAACTATTTGTGCTTAAGTGGGTCAGGGACTATTGTTGTAAAATGCCACTGAGTGGGTTTGGGTTCTGACTCACAGGCATCCTGTATAGGGTTTCTAAGGAGCATCTGGTGGGTTTGAACCACTGACCTTGTGGTTCACAGTCCAGTGCTGATCCTATAGCACCCTACCAGGAGTCCCAGATAATTTTATTATTATCTAATCATTGTTGCTGTAAGTTCTATGAAGAAGGTGTGCTAAGTCAACACAAAGCAAGGGATCTGACCTAGTCTGGAAGGTCTGAAAAATGTGTTTAAGCGAAGACCAGAGTTTAGCGGCAGTGCTGTTGGGAGAACAGCCTTCCAGGGTAAGAGCCCAGCAAGAGATGCCTGAGGAAGGAAGAATTTGAAAAGCTAAGAGAAAATGAGTCTAGAGCGAGAATGGGACAGGGCATGAGAAATGACTAGAAAGACCAGGTCAACTCTACTGAGCATTCTGGCCCCTTTCTAGAAGGCTGCTGTAAAGCTTTTAAACAGAAAAATAAAATCAGACTGCGAGAGAAGAGGCAAGGGGGCCATGGGTGGTCCCTGGGTGACTGTGGTATCGTCCAGTAAGTGGAGGACTGCTTGGTTTGGGTAGTGAGCAGAAGTGCTGTAGTGGAGGAAGGGAGGAGGAGTGGAGCTCAGCACTCATCTCTGGCTTGAGCAACTGAAGGGGCGGTGATGTCAGTGGGAGTCAGGGGCTTGGAGGAGGGAGGACCGTTGGTGAGGAAGTGCCTGTAGAGCTCTCAGGTTGACAGCTGAGAATCCAGACATGGAGCTCAGAGGTCAGGTCTGCTTGGGGGGACGGCAAAGTTGAAATTCATTTTACATGGTAAACCAAGTAGTGGCAAAGGTTGTGATGTATAGTTTATAATCTTTGTTTTATAATAGCTTTGTGATTTCAGTTTGTAGTTGTCTTCCTTGAGCCATTTGTTAAGAAAGGTATGTTGTTAAGTGCCGTCGAGTCATTTCTGACTCATAGTGTCCTTGTATAGTAGGGTTTCTGGGGAGTGGTGAGTTTGAACTGCCAACCTTATGGTTCAGATGACCTTGCAGTCCAGTGCTTATCCTACAGCACACCACACCAGGACCTCCTAAGAAAGCTATATATGTATATATATTTTTTTTAATAATGTTATTCTACTTCAACAATTTTATGCAAATTGTTTTGTGCCATAAGTTACCATTTTTACAATGTGTCAGCATTCTCCTGATTTCTGTTTTGTTTGATTTGTTTCCATTAATCTAGTTTCACTTCCTCTCCTTGGGTTCTCATCTTTGCTTTGGGGTAGATGCTGATTGTTTGGTCTCATAATAGAGTCCTGGTGTGGGACTGTGGGTTAATGCACTGTACTGTAAAGTCAGTTTGACTCACAAGGTCAGCGGTTTAAGCTTACCAGCGACTCCTTGGAAACCCTATTCAGGGTCGCTATGGGTCAGAACCAACTCAAGAGCACTTAACAACAGTTAATTGTTTAAAGTAGCACATTGTTTTTGTTAAATGATGCTGAATGGGTATTCACTCATATCAACCCTGAGTAGAATTTCAGAGGCTGTAAATCTTTGTGGGAGCGGAAAAGCCTCATCTTTCTTCAGCAAAACAGCTAATGGGCTCGAACCACCCACTTGGTGGTTCACAGTCCAGTGTTTATTCTATAGATTCATGAGTAATAAGATAATTTTTTAATAAAAAGCTTTTTAGTAGAAAGGTTCTTGTTTTCTGATTTTGTCAATTTTTAGTTTGCTCTTAGAGAATTTATGATTTCAAAGAAAAATATTTAAGTTACTAAGGTTTTATTGGCATGATTATTACATGGAATTTAATTTTTTAAATCTGTATAATGTTCTCTGTGTTCTCTCTGCTTTGGGGTCCTTAAGGGTCGCCTATCTGGTGATTTAAACTTTTTTTTTTTTTTTTAATTGTCTTTCCTGTCACCCAAGTTAACATATCTATCCTCTGTCCATTGAATAATTCTCCCTTCCCTCTCACCCATGGTAACCATCATAGAATGTTTGTTCAAGGAAAACTTTTCTTAAGCTTTTTACATTACTCTCATGCAGTATGTCCTTTTTTTTTTTTAGGTTTTTATTGTGAACTGAGTGAAAGTTTACAGGGCATATCATCAGTTTTACATTCAACAAATCATACATCTTGTTTCATTACAATGATTATAATCCCCTCCATGTACCTTCCATGTTAGCTTTTTTAAAACAAACAAACAAAAAACCATTCAGGCATATATAATAATTTACAACTTCAAAAGGGCACATTCTGCAGTTCTGCCTCCTGGCCACCAGCTCTTAGTCCCTCTCTTCCCATGAATCTAGAGTCCTCAGCCACTCCCTCTCTCCATGCCCCCATCTCTGCCTCTGTCTCTGGCTCGCTGCTTCTCTGGATAAGGTCCTGCATTCTGCTTTTGCGCTTCTCTCTTGATGGTCCTAGGGTTCTCTGTTTCTGGACTGTAAGATTAACCACTCCCCTGTTTTTGTTACAAAACTTATTTCTACCTTACAATTGTGACAGTCGCAATTAGTCATGATAACAATTATTCACTGTTGAATCTTACGAATCTTATCCCCATCTCTTTTCACCAGACCCATCTAGACAAGATGACAGCTATTCAGTGGGGAATGTTTCTTTACCCGCATACTCTTAAACTAAACTCCCTCTTGAAACCTTGTAAGCCAGTCACTTCGTGCCTTTTTTGCCCCTCATTTTAGGTAGCCAAATGTCTAAGTTGCCCGTTCCTATCTACCCTGTGTACAGAGGGGATAGATAGCATCGATACTTGATGTGAAGACTCTTTTTTCCCTCTCTGTTGGTATTTAGAGTAACTACCGCTCTGAGTATAGGTCATCAAATTGTAGCAATTTACCCTTGTTTCTTTTATACAAAAAAAAAAAAAAAAAAATTTTTTTTTTTTTTCATTCTTCCTTTAGTCGAGTTCTGATTATCGAGCCATCGAGGGTAGGTCAAAAGGGTACTGTCTGCAAGTTTGGGTGTTCTTGTGCATCTACCCTCACTTCATATCAGCTGGATGCTTCACTCTCAGCTCTAGGTCTCTGTGGCTAAGTCATTGTCCATGGGCTCAAGTGTCCTCAGGTCTCATCACAATTTGGACCAGCCAGCCCTTTCTCTCTCATCTCCAGGTCAAAGGGATTCAATGGACTGGGGTTGAACTCAGCCTATTTCTTCATTGATGCCTTTCTGCCTCTTCCATTCACCAGTAGACCAATGTGGTCGCTAACAAGTTTACATGCTTGTGTATGTCCTTTGAATAACAGTCTTAGAGGGGAGTTTGTCCTGAAGGCACTTGATTGCTAACCTTGATGTCTTCCTGGTGAACAGCTTGCTTATTCTTTTAAGGTTTTTATTGTGGATTGAGTGAAAGTTTACAGGGTACATCATCAGTTTTACATTCAACCATTCATATGACTTGTTTCATTACATCATCAGTTAACAGTGTTTCTCTCTATCCTCTTTAGTTGTTTTTTTTTTTGGGGGGGGGGAACTTTGCCTTTTTGGAATTTACAGTCTCGGCTTTTAGGGAAGGTTTTTACATTTAGGTATTCCAATCAGTTATAGGCAGAAGACGGACTTACTAGCTTTCTATGGTGATGTTTCTGGTTATTCCTTTCTATCCCCCTTCAGTGTCTATTTTATACTATAATGCAAGGAAAACCAAGATTCAAAAGACATCCAATGTAGTGTATACCCTTTGGATGGTTGATGATGCATGGAGGGGATTGTAACCATAGCCATGAAATTATATACTATAGGATGAATGTAAAACTAACGTTCTCCCATGTAAACTATCACATAATTCACACCAAAACATTAAGAAAAAAAAAATTAGTTGGCTATATGTAGATGGGTTAATTTCTGGATTCTCGATTCTGTTTCATTGATCTATGTATCTTTCATTGTACCAGTACCAAGCTGTTTTGACCATTGTAGCCATGTAATAAATTTTGAAGTCATCTCTGCCCATTTTTTAACTGGATTATTTAACGTCTTGTTGAGGTGTTGAAGTGTTCTATACATTTTAGAAAGTAGTCCTTAGTCCTTTCCCTTTGTCTGATAAGTCATTGCCAAGAATTTTTCCACAGCCCGTCTGTGGGCTCTTTTTACTTAATTTAGCGAAACCCTTTGATACACATAAGTGTCTAATTTTTAGGAGGTTCCAGTCATCTATTTTTTCTTCTGCTATTTGTATGTTTTCAGTTATGTTTGACAGTATAAGTATGCCTTGTATCAGAGCCCTTAAGTTTTTCTTATATTTTCATTGATGATCTTCATAGTTTTAGGTTTTATATTTAGGTTATTAATCCATGTTGAGTTCATTTCTGTATGTGGTGTGAGATATGAGTCTTGTTTTATTTTTCTGCAAATGGATTTCCAGTTTGTGAGCACCATTTGATGAAGATGATCTTTCCCCCATATTGGTCCTTTGTCAAAGATCGACTGACTGTAGGAGAATGGATTTACTTCTGGGTTCTCAATTCTGTTCCACTGATCTATGTGTCTTTCATTGTACTAGTACCAGACTATTGTGGCTGTGTAGTAGGATTTGAGACCCTGTGTAGGAGGCCTCCTACTTTATTCATTTTTAGTAATATTTTGCTTATCCAAGGTCTTTCCTTTCCTTATAGTGATTAGTTTTTCCATCTCTTTACAGGATGATGTTGGAATCTGGATTGGGATTGCATTATATCTATGCATTGTTTTGGGTAGTGTTGACATTTTTAAAACGTTAAATCTTCCTATCCATGAGTGTGGGATATTCTTTCATAAGCATTTCATCTTTGGGTGACTATTGTAAATGGTATTGTATTCTTAATATTCTTTTCAGAGCTCTATTAGTATAAAGGGATACAACTGATTTTTGTTTAATCTTGTACTCTACTATTTTGCTGAATCTTTCAGTGAGTTCCAAAATTTTTGTACTAAGTCTGGGATTTTCTGTGTAGGTTCATATCATCTGCAAAAAGAGTGTTACTTCTTTGCCAATTTGGATGCCTTTAATTTCCTTTTCTTGCCATATAGACTTCCAGAACAATATAGAATATGAATAGTGATAAAGGGCATCCTCTCCTGGTTCCTGTTCATAGGGGAATACATTGAGCTTCTCTTATGTTAAGAGTGATATTGACTATTGGTTTTGTATGTTGTTGAGAAATTTTCCCTTCTTTTCCAATTTTGTTGAGTGCTTTTATCAGAAGTGGGTATTGGATTTTGTCAAGTGTCTTTTATCAATTGATACGATCCTGTGGCTTCTCTCCCCCCCCACCTTTGTTTTACTTATATGGTGGATTATGTTGATTTTCTAATATTGAACCACCCCTGCATACTTGGTCTGAATCCTACTTGGTCATTATGTGTTATGTTTTTTGATAGGTTGCTGGATCCTACTGACGGATTTTATTGAGAATTTTTGCATCTCTGTTCATGAGGGGTATTCTATATTTCTATATTTTCCTTTTTGGGGGATTTGCATGCTTTTAGTATCAGGGTTATGCTTGCTTCATAAAATGAATTCAGGAGTTTTCCACCCTTTTCTGGAATAGAATTGGCGTTAGTTGCTATCTCAATGTTTGGTAGAATTCACCAGTAAATCGAGGCCCAGACATTGTATTGTTGGGAGTGTTTTAATGACTTGATCAATTTCTTCTCTTGTTACAGGTCTGTTGAAAATTTCTACTTCAGTGTTAGCCTAAGTAGGTCATGTGTTTTTAGAAATTTGCCTATTTCTAGAATTTCAAATTCGTTGGAGTAGTTTTTCGCAGCATTGTGTTACCCTTTTTATTTCCATTGGTTCTGTTGTGACATCACCCATAACATTCTTAATCATGCTTTTTGTATCTTTTCCTCCTTCTCTTTTATTAGATTTGCCAATGGTTTTTCTATTTTATTAATCCTTTCAAAGAACCAGCTTCGTGTTTTGATTCTTTCTATTTCTATTTCACTTTTGTTACTCTCAGCTTTATTATTTCTTCTTGTGGCTGTAGGCTTCCTTTGCTGCTCTACTTTGGGATGTATATGGGTCTCCTAATCATTTGGAAGACTTTAAAACATTCTTTTGAGATCACTTTTACATCTTTAAAGTCTTGAGCTAACCCTTTTAAATTATATGTTTTCACTTTGTCTATAAAACCTGGAAACGTTCAGTATCATTTACCTTTATCTTTTTTTTAGTGACAGTGTTTCTGCATTGTTTATAATGTTTGTATTCACTGTGTTGTTCTAGCCCTTGCATATTTATTCTCAAGTGCTCACTTCTAGTCCCTTTGCCTTTTTTTTTTTTTTTACTTTTCATTGTAATTTGGATGAAGGTTTACAGAGCAGATCATCAATTTTACATTCAACAAATCATATGCTTCATTTCATCTCAGTGACTGCAGTCCCCTCCATATATCATCACTTACCCACTTCCTCCTTGTGCTTCTTTTTTCCATTCTACCTTTCTCCACCTTTCTGAACTTTGGGTAAATGATGCTCTTTTGATCTCAAATGACTGATCTCACTTGTATTGTTGTCCCCCCTACATACCGATTGCATGGCTGAAAACTGAGTCATGGTCAGGAATGGGAGATGAGTTCAGTTCCAGACTTAAAGGTGGCAACCAAGGGCCATAGTCTCAGGGTTCCATCAGTCTGACCAATAAGTCTGCTCTTTTTTATGATCTTGAGTTTTCTCCCACTCTATGCAGGACCTTCTAAAATCCTTTTTGTAGCCGTTGGTAGTAGTAACCAGGCACCAGCTTGTTCATTTAGTCTCGGGGTTGTGGAAACTCACGTTCCTACGCTCCACTAGTCCACTGGACTAACTGCTTCCAAGCATTCCCCTAACTCACGTTCCTACGCTCCACTAGCCCACTGGACTAACTGCTTCCA